TCGAAACCTAAATGACTTGGAGAAGATCGGCAAAGAGGAGTGGGACTAAATCCCTCCTGAGATGTGTGCAAACCCGATGGCCAACTACAAAAAACGTCTGACCTCTGTGATTGCCAACAAGGGTTTTTATCACCAAGTACTAAGTCATGTTTTGCTGAGGGGTCAAATACTTATTTCCCACATTAAAATGCAAATCAATTAATAACATTCTTGACATGCGTTTTTCTGGATTTTTGTTGTTATTCTGTTTCTCACTGTTCAAATAAACCTACCATTAAAATTGTAGACTGATCATTTCTTTGTCAGTGGGCAAACGTACAAAATCAGCAGGGGATCAAATACTTTTTTCCCTCACTGTATGTGTAGCCAACCATGCCAATCGGAGGTGCGGGAAACAGTAAAGATCCCTAATAATACAGGTTTTATGGGTTACATCGCGTAAATGTCGTTAAACCCGCCACCACCCGACACAGCCAATTAGTAAGGTTCGTCACGTAAACAGAGCGTGCCAATTCGTCACTAGTACTGCACACCGGTGTGTTGGCGTGCCAAGCTACAACATTTACAATCTGAGTACGACGTTTCGCCAGTAATTACAACTAGCTTCATCAGGCGACAGCCAGATTTGTGGAGAATTCCTCCTGTTTCGTTACTTAAATTATCCCATGATCCCAATGTGTGCCGCGTGACAACCCAAATTTGCCAAAATTTGAAACATTACACCACAAACTTCTTAACTGGGATCCCACACACACACTCGCAACAGCAGACATCGCCATACTCCTGGCAGAATGCCCCGGGTCATCTCTGGCAAATGAGGTTCATCCTTGATTTGAAGCTTTCGTGACTGCAGGAATCCATACTCTTTGGTTCTATCGGTAAATTCGCGCTCACGCAGCGACCCCCCCCCATCCCCCTACCCTCTCTCTCTCCCCCCTTGCTCCTCCCCCCCTTTCTTACATATAATAACCTCTTGCCACGGCAGCTCTCTCGCCCACTGCATTGCTGCTGCACTGGCATTGCTGCTGCATTGGCATTGCTGCTGCATTGGCATTGCTGCTGCATTGGCATTGCTGCTGCATTGGCATTGCTGCTACATTGGCATTGCTGCTGCATTGGCATTGCTGCTGCATTGCTGCCGCATTGGCATTGCTGCCGCATTGGCATTGCTGCCGCATTGGCATTGCTGCCGCATTGGCATTGCTGCCGCATTGGCATTGCTGCCGCATTGGCATTGCTGCCGCATTGGCATTGCTGCCGCATTGGCATTGCTGCCGCATTGGCATTGCTGCCGCATTGGCATTGCTGCCGCATTGGCATTGCTGCCGCATTGGCATTGCTGCCGCATTGGCATTGCTGCTGCATTGGCATTGCTGCTGCATTAATACTCGTGCGACGCCCGTGCTCCTGGTGCTGTTGATACACTTGGGCTACGCCCATCCCCAAAACCTTTATAAACAGTTTGCCTTTAGAGGCCGACTCCTTTGCCTGATGACAACCGCTTGTGTTGTGATCGAAACGTCGTGATTTGTTTTATTTCATTTCTAACGACGTGACTTGACCGAAAGAACCAAAGAGGAAAGATTCATCCTGGTCTCATGAGTTCGTGTCTGGTCAAACAAAATCAACAAAACTAGAAACAATACATTTCGATTTAAAGCTTTCGTGACTGCAATGATTCATCTTCTTTGGTTCTTTCGGTAAAGTCACGTAGAATGAGAATAAAATAATAAATTGATAAAATAAAATACCAGACAGTCTCGTCCCTTCACCTGATGAAGGCCGCTTGTGTTGTGGCCGAAACGTCGTGAGAATATTATTGTGTTATTTTATTTTATCAATTTATTATTTTATTCTCATTCTACGTGACTTTACCGAAAGAACCAAAGAAGATAGAAACAATACACTCTGCTTTGGGTGGATCCCGAGTGACCTGGTCACCGACACACTACAAAGATCCCCCATACAGCCTTAACAGACTGTAGGGGCAAGTGCTGTTAGCGAGCACCTATGAAGGCCGGAACGGTACACGAGGGGGTGGGTGGCCAGCACCACGCCCGACCGCCTTTGTCTCCCTAGTGGCAATGTTTACACACTGCACCAGGTACTCATTTGAGGCTGAGTCGACCTAGGGGAGGCCCGGGACCGGTTCAGATAATCGTCACTGGTGTTGGCCGTGAGCGGGAATCGAACCCGGGTCGCCAGGTTCATAGCGCAGCGTAGCGCTAACCGCTACACTATCGCTCCCCACACACACACACTACAACCACCGCTGCTCGTGCAACGCGCTCCTTCATTGCAATGCCGTGTCTAGGAATAATTGAAGGCTTCATGAATACAGCGCCACTAACCCCCTCCCCCACCCCCACCGATATATTTAACATCATGAGCTCATAATTATCAATCCGTTTATATACATGAATTGGTTAATAATCACAAACTCCACGTGCTGTGAACTTCAGGATCGAAATGGGATGAACCAAAGAGTGGGATTCTAGCAAAGTGCATAACAAACAGCTGTAAAACAAACAGCTGGTTTAATACGTAGGCTTCTGCGACCAATATCATCCATATTAGAGTTTTTTTTGGGTTAGATCGCGTAAATGTGTCGTTAAAACCCGCCACCACCCAACACAGCCAACTAGTAAGGGTTGTCACGTGAACAGAACGTGGCCAATTCTTCACTAGTACAGCACACCGGTGTGTTGGAGAGCCAAGCCACAACATTTACAATCTGAGTACGACGTTTCGCCAGTAATTACAATAGCTTCATCAGGCGACAGCCAGATTTGTGGAGAAGTCCACCTGTTTCGTTACTTATATAGAGATGTGTTGACCACGCTTCTGCGCTAATGCGCAAAGTGGGGGGGGGGGGGGGTTAATGAGTCAACGTACATTATGCATTATGCGAACCCTTTGATCTTGTCCTTCCTATCCATTGTGTATTAAAATAGCCGTGCCAACGGTAATCCCTATTGAAGTATGGTGCCCTTCATAGGCATGCATATAAAGAATATTATTTGACAATTCGCTTCCACGCAGCACTAAGGCGGTAGCTATTCTAACGGTTAAAATTATTTTAAATTCTTTCAATTTAGATAGATTCTCTAATTAGCCTTGGCCAGTAGTAGCTAGTTTTGCACAGAACTTAAACATTATCAAACTCAATTGAGTGTCCTTCTTGGCACGCGTGTTCTGCTACTGCTGACAGTTGTATTTGGGAGAATTTAATATTTATTTGGTGTTCTTTTAGTCTCGTGCTGATCATTCGTACTATTTGAACATAACATTTGCCACACGTTCAGTTGATCCTGTACACACCTTCTGTTGATAGCTTCGGTAATACATCATTTATACCAGATATACATTTCTGTATTTTATGTACCGTGCCAAATCTGACTCGCATTTTTTGTTTTTCCAAACATGTGGCTAGTTTATTACTTACTCCCGCAATGTACAGTATTTTAATCGTTTTCATTACTTGGGCAGTTCCAATGCTCGTGTTATTTGATTTGGTTTTGGCATTCAATGCCCTCTTCAACATGTTGAATTTCACTTCTCAGACTGTCACCATCTGACACTTTCTTAGCTCGATGAATGAGCGTCTTGATAAGAGCAGAAATCCGTGCGGGGTGATGGTGTGACTCTGCATTCAGATAGGCGTCAGTATGCGTTGTCTTTCAGCAAACGCTGTGTGTTATTTTACCATTTCGACCCCGTCCGAGCAGAGGGATTACCGTTGGTACGGCTATTTTAATATGCACAATGGACAGGAAGGACAAGATAAAAGGGCTCACATAATGCGCGTGCATAATGTACGTTGACTCATTAATCCCCCCCCCCCCCCCCCACGTGGCGCAAGAGCACAGAAGCGTGGTCACCACATCTACGCCTCTATATCAGGAACGAAACAGTAAGACTTCACATATCTGGCTGTTGCCTGATGAAGCTAGTTGTAATTACTGGCGAAACGTCGTACCCAGATTGTAAATGTTGTGGCTTGGCTCTCCAACACACCGGTGTGCTGTACTAGTGACGAATTGGCCACGTTCTGTTTACGTGACAACCCTTACTAGTTGGCTGTGTTGGGTGGTGGCGGGTTTTAACGATGCATTTATATATTTACGAGATCTAACCGAAAAAAAACCTCTATTATAGACAAACAGCTGGTCAGCGAGCCCACCACCACCACGCTGCTCGGCTACTTGAACACACAGCTCATCAGCAACCACACCACCAGTGCCCAGCCTCTTCAACACACAGCTCATCAGCAACCACACCACCAGTGCCCAGCCTCTTCAACACACAGCTCATCAGCAACCACACCACCAGTGCCCAGCCTCTTCAACACACAGCTCATCAGCGAGCACACCACCACCACGCTGCCTGGCTTCCTCAACACACTGCTCATCAGCGAGCTCACCACCACCAAACTGCCTGACTTCCTCTACACACTGCTCATCAGCCAGCCCAACACCACAACGCAGCCCAGCTTCCACCTTCCTTGACACACACCTGATCATCCAGGCCACCACCACCACACTGACCAGCTTCCACATGATCAGCCAGCCCACGACCACCACACTGCCTGACTTCTTCTACCCACAGCTCATCAGCAAGCCCACGACCACGACCACCACACCGCCCGGCTTCCACCTTCCACAGGAACAATGGGCAGCGCTTAACCAGATCCGCACAAACCATGGCAGATGCAGACACCCAATGCATAAGCGGAGAATAAAAGAGTCCCTCTCCCTCTCTCTTCCTGTGCACGACACCAAACCACGGACCATGCAACTTCGCACTGCCCCAAATGTAAACTTGAAGGCTGTGGGTGGTGAGTGGGTGGTGAGTGGGTGGTGAGTGGGTGATGAGTGGGTGGTGATTGGGTAGTGGGTGGTGAGTGGAGGGTGGGTGGTGGGCAGAGGGTGAGTGAATGGGTACGTGCATCTGAAAGTCACCAACTTACAGACAAAGCAATTTAAAGCAGCCTAAATCACTTAGAACCGAATCTCCGATAGTTGTTCTTCATTAGCCGTACGAAAATGAAATAATCATCAAAGAAGTTAATGAGATAACGGGGCTGTTTGAAAGTTTCGCCATGATTTCTCTCAGCCCGGCATATTCACGTTGGCGAGACGTTGACTTCCTCGCCTGGTATGCAGAAGGTCGTGGGTTCAATCCCGACCCTGACGCCTGTATATTTGGAGTTTGCATGTCTCTCTCTCTCCCCGTGATTGCGTGGATTTTTATCCGGGTCCTCCGGTTTCCCCAATGCACATTTATAATCAACATCACACGTTTAGAGTATTTGGCTGCTGCTATGTATGTCCGCGTGACAAGCCGCCACTTTGTTGGACTATCATCTGTGGTAGCCAGGTCGCTTCTGAAAAAGAGCTGCAAAGCTCCGTTGGCTTTACCTGGTCAAATAAAAATAGCAGCATTCGTCACCGTGCATAATTTCTGCTCGTCATGCGATGCTGTTCCTGTCCTGCTGGTCACACGGGGTTACACTCGGGGCTTCATCGGGAGCTGGGTCTGTCCGGGTCCGTGACCCAGAAAACTATCTGTGCCCGGGCACACCACGTCCGGTAAACTTCCCGCTACAGCTGTGGTTATCGGTCCACGTGCCTAAACCGGTCGACCAGCCACTCGAAAGAAACAAAAAAATGTTCAGTGAGAAATTAAGCCCCGTGTGAGACTGCTGGTCAGGTGACTTAAATAAACTTTTTCCCCCCCAATATGCACTTTCGTGTCATTCGGTGATGAATCAACTGTGGATCTCTAGCATAGCTGCGCATCACCCTACGTGTTAAAGTACGGCCCAGGGAAGTAGATACTGCAGAGCTACCCACTTGAGATGGAAGCTGCTGGTCACATGGCCCGTGCTACCCTGGGTCGCGTGACTGTGCTGCTCCGATCACACGGCTATTCTTCTTGGTCACGTGACTGTGCTGCTCCAATCGCACGACCCCCGCTGCGCTGATTCACGTGACCGCGCCGCCGGCCACGCGGTCGAGTTGCGGGGCGGTCAGGACTCGTCCGCCTTGGGCTCGCGGAGGCCGTCACTGTGCTTCACCTTGCCGGCCATCTCCAGCATGGCCTGCACCTCCGGGTCAGCGTCCAGCACGCTGCGGGCCTTGCCTCCCTGTGGGTGGCACACGTGGCACTCCCGTCAGCAGCAGCAGTGGCAACGGCAATGGCAGCAGTAGCAGCAGCAGCGGTAGCAGCAGCAGGAGCAGCAGCAGCAGCAGCAGCAGTCGCGTCATTAAAATAAACATTGTGGTGATGATCATCATTGTCAGCAGCAATATCATCATCATAATCATCAGCAGGAGCGACAGTGTCATCAACTTTCAACAGCAGTGGCACCATCTGCAGCAGTGTCACCACAATTAACATCAACGGGAGCAGTACCATCATCACCATCATCATTTTTTTTCCACTCCAGCGCAGTCTTCGAGACAGTCTGGTCCCTTCACCTGATGAAGGCCGCTTGTGTTGTGGCCGAAACGTCGTGATTTTTGTCGTTTTATTTTCTACCTACGTGACTTTACCGAATAGAACCAAAGAGCAGGGGGCATTTAATATTCCCACAGATGGGACCTGGACAGCGACAGGGGAGGTCCTTGGGGTGGAGGGGTGGGTGGGGGGGTGGTGGCACTCACGCTCCCTTGGGCGCGTTCGGGGGGACTGCCGAGCCCCCACACCTCGACGGCGGAGAGGGAGAACTCCTCGCGAGCCGACAGCTGGGGGCTGCCGTAGGTGGTGCAGCGCGGCTTGGCGCGGCTGTGCCCACGCCCGTAGTCACTGTCCAGCCACAGCCCAAAGTAGTCGTGCTGCCCGCCCATGCCCTGCACGGACACAACATCATCAACATCAAAAACATCAAAAACATCAACAACGTCAACATCAACAACGTCAACATCAACAACGTCAACATCAACAACGTCAACATCAAAAACATCAAAAACATCAACAACGTCAACATCAACAACGTCAACATCAACAACGTCAACATCAACAACGTCAACATCAACAACGTCAACATCAACAACGTCAACATCAAAAACATCAACAACGGTCCTAATTCTCCACTAAGCAACGGTGATGTTCACTGAGGCGACAGTGTCAGGCGAGGTTACTCAAATAGGATCACACATCTGTCCTCAAATACCTTATTTACTTTCTTAATTAGTATATTCCACTGGACATCTGTGAAAAAAAAGCTTTATATCTCATCGGATTCCTCCAGTATAAATAAATATCCTCATTCCGATTCAGATGTGTTTTTACCAATGGGAGTTTTTGTCCTAGCATCGGCAGATTGTCGAGGAATCGGCGGCGGCCTGAGTTCAGCGTCATTTCGATGGTGGGGAACGGATGTAACCGGGACTGTCAGTAAAAACTCACTCATTGGCCGACAACACCTTCATGTACAGAGGACGGTGGAGGAATTTGGACACCGCTCCTCTCTCTCTCTGAGAGCGCGAGCGAACGCTGCACGGTGATGGCACGCTCCGAGGTGACGTCACTACGATTACCACTCCGGTTACGCACGGGCGAAGGGGCAGATATGAACTCACAAGTCCGTTGGGCATGGTCTGCTGGCCGTGGTTGAGGTACATGTAGTGGTCGTTGTAGCCCGTGCAGGAGTACACGCCGACGGACGGCCGCAGGCTGAACAGAAAGCAGTGGCTGCTTCCTGGGACAACGCAAACAGAGGACGGCGAAGAGGGGGGGAGGGGGGGTGGCTGGGGATCGTCGCTTAGTGTCGCGAGGCAAGCAAAAAGACGCGTGCTGCGGCGATTGCTGAGAGCTGGGTTAGTTCGCCGTGCACGTTCGGCCAACGCTCCATCACTGATCACTGTGGCTTGTCGTTATGCGACTGTGGTCATCCAGAACGGACCGTACAACGTATAACGACCTGATAATGCCCGATCTATAAAATACGAAGGAGACATCGCAGCGGTACACTCCGCTGCTCCCGACGCGGTTATCTGCTGGCGTGACCACCTGAATGTGAAATTGAAGTTGTTGCTCTGCATCTACATCAGTTATATGAAAGAGAGTTGTATGTATGTATGTTCAATTTCTTTCGTACTGTATGGAGTCAACCGTGCTAACAGGAGGTGCGGTCGTTGGAGCAAAAAGCTCTGACGACCTTCAATTTTAAAACGTTACTGATGCTGTCCGAATAAAGACTAATAATACAGTGCACCTTTGGATTTATATGGGGGGAGGGGGGGGGAATGCAGCGGCATAACCCAAGGGAGAGGAACCCATGTCCAGCAGTCCCTCGGTTCACGTTTTTAATCCGTTCCACGAAAACTACTGTTCACCGAAATAACCATTAATCGAATTCACTTGTACGTTGAAAAATAAGTAAAAATCAACGAGTCTGCAAGAGAGCCGTTTCCACTGCCAAAATAAAAAAAAATGTAATAATGCAAACAAAGCCAGTCGAGGTCTAAAAGTTCATAAATGGGCATTGCTGATTGGCTGAGAGCATGGCTCAGCCACACTTACGAGCCCTCGGATTGGCCAAAATTGGCGCCCTCTGTGCATAACGTAAACGTAACGTAAATCAACATTTTTAAATCATATTCTTAGCTCTTTCGGTAAAGTGACGTTGAAGGGAAACAATAAAATATATATATAAAACAATAAAAAATTCTCGCAAAAATATGGAACGCTTCACGAATTTTTACTGTTTCCCTTCAACGTGACTTTACCGAAAGAGCTAAGAATATGAATTACTGCAGTCACGAAAGCTTTAAATCAAAATTTTTTAATCAGTCGAAACCATGGGGGTCCTATGAGGCGAAACGTTAACAGCAAAATCCGTGAACCGATGTCACTGCTAATCGAGTACTTGAGAACACATGCGGTCGAGAGACATCATGTTGACCGCTGAGAAGGGTGCGCTGAGGCAGGACATGTCGCAGCAAGAAGGGAGGACGTCCAGCGGTCGAGGCCGGAGGAGGACGGAATGGCAGCGAAAGGAATCACGACCGCCGTGGAGACGGAGCGGTGAAATCCGCTCGCGTGCAGAAGAGGGACGGATCAGTTTGCATCGCAAAAACCACGAGAGACGGCGGACAGCCGGGGGGGGGGGGGGGTGGGGAAGCTCTCGTCCAGCAGAGCGGTGAAGTATGGCTAAACAACAAGGTCGACACGGCATGGGGAGGGCAACATGCCGTGTCGGTGGACGACTGACAAAGGGCTGTGTCGCTGCCATTAAGTTATCTATATAAAAGCGTGTGGCCCAGACAGGTTTGGGAAGAAACGACCTGGTGACTATTGGTGCTGGCTTTGAAAAGACTGCTTTGTTTGCTTTTGTTTGCTTTTGTCCGGAGAGGAAGAAGGAATTTGGGTTCCGGGGAGTGTTGACTTCCAGCACCAAGCCGAGACAATGCCCCATTGTGTGACAGGCAGCGCACGGCTGGACTTGGTCGGCGGGGGTATGGAAGTGAAAACATATAAATTTTACTGAGCCATTCGTGCCGATTAGCACGGTTGGCTATGTATGATGCGGAAGAAGTGCAACGTACATCCATACAATTGTTGGAAATATAAAAGAATAAACAAGTCACAGCAATCGGGGCGGTGATGCAATGGCTATCGCGGCCTGTTATAAATCTGCCGACCCGAGTTCAATTCCCGGTCACGGCTTGCATCAGAGGCAAAGTGATGTCTGTACTGGTTCTGCTGTGTGCTCCCTTCACCATCCCCCACTGACCAGAGCGGTGACGCATGGCTGATAGTCTATTCACCATTTCCCATTCCGGCGACGAACGCAATCGGATGGGGGAAAAAAAAAAAAACTTGAGGTCGGAAGACATACCGAGGCTCTCACAAGGCCATGCGGGAGGGCGTGTGGCACAGTTTGGCGCCAGCTATCGTAGAGTGTGGTTACAGTTGTCTGTGGTGAGTACAATATATTTAAAAAACAGCGGAGCTATGCCTCTAAATAAAATTCACGCAAACCGCTTGCACGTTCCGAGATTCATCGGTGAACGGGGACAGAGGCACCCTGCAGACGTCTCGGAACGGGAAAGGGCGAATAGTTTCCAGATTTCGAAATTCAATCATTGCTGTCCTCACCCAATTATTAAAATCGCTAAAGTGTAAGCGTGAATGCAATTGTACAAATTATTGCTTCGATCAAGTTTGCGTGTATTTTCATTTCTGTAATTGGGGAATGCTCTGACGTTGATTGCCGGCCGAACCGCCCTTGACAAAGTGCTTCTGACAAAGAGTTGTGAGTGTAACGTCATTCATCATTCATCGGTCATTTTCCTGAAGTTTATAATTCCCAGTTTGGTTATCATTCGTTACTGATGTTAGCCAGTGGCCAGCAATCGAACTCGGGAGTCGTCGGGTCAAACGCCGCAGCGCCGTTACCGCTGCGCTGCGACTCCACGCGCAATGAACAATTAAGCGACGTTGTAAACAAAAATCATTAGCAGTAAAAAAACACGGCCTCCCCTGATTGTAAAATTAATGGGCCCATGACGGAGGGGGGGGGGAGGAGGAACCGTAGCTGCTGATGACTGCGAGTGGAGACGAACCCTGGAACTGGGGCTTGACCTCCCAGCTGGCCGAGGCGAAGCCCCCGAAGAGATGACCGTCCACATCCTCCACGAGCAGCAAGGTTGGGCCTTGGCCTACGGCGAGGCCACACAGCCTGCGCCACAGCATCATGCACGTGACACCACACTGTCACGCATCGCAACACGATGTTTGCGTTACACACCACAACCACCGCGACAACAACCAAAGGCAAAGCTCCCCCGTGTTGCCTTAACAGATTGTTGGGGCAAGTGCTATTAGCGAGCACCTATGAAGGCCAGAATTACGCACGAGAGAGTGGGTGGCCAGCACCACGGACGCCTGGCCGCCTTTGTCTCCCGAGTGGCAATGTTTACACACCGCACCAGGTACTCATTTGAGGCTGCGTCGAATTAGGTGAGGCCGAGGACTGATGCAGATAATAGTCATTGATATTGGCCGTAAGCAGGAATTGAACTCGGGGTCGCCGGATTCATAGCCCTGTGCGCTGACCACTACACTACCGCTTCCCACCACCAGGAGCACTACCGGCGCAACCATGCCTGCCTTGAAAAGCTCTCCCCCTGAAGGCGGCTGGAAAACAGCAGCCTCCAGCGGTTGCGCAGCTCGCCCGGCAGGTGGACGCCGAGATGGAGCATCGACGGCACATCCAGCAGCAGCCGCGGGCCCCGGCCGCCACCGCCGCCGCTGCCAACCCCCAGCTGGGACCAGGCGACGCCCTCGCACGCCGGCGGCACCAGGAGCGGCGCCAGTGCGCGGCGCGGGTCCTCGTCGGGAGCGGGCGTCTCCGCGGAGGGCCCGGCGCCGCCACCGCCGTCGTTATCGTCGCTCGAGGGAGACGAGGAGGAGGATGGGGCTGGCTCAGTGGGGAGGGGGAGGAGGTTGTGACCGTGACCCAGTTCGAGGCGCAGGGAGGAGGTGACGAGGAGGGAGAGGAGTGCCGGGACGAGCGGCGTGCGGTGCAGCCAGCCCGACACGTCGTCGCGAGTCGTCGCTCCGCTCGCTGTATCGGCCGTGGAGCCATCTGTACGCGGAAGCGGCACCCAGCGTCATCCCGTGAATTTAAAATATTTATTTTATGATTTTATGTGGCGCGACAGAACCAACAAAGGGCTTCAGAGCACCATACAGAATTAAACAAATGTGTAGTTCACATATTATTGTAAATGACTACATTTGTAGTTTTTTTTTAATGCGAGAATCTTCAGCGATAAGGCGCACTTCTTCATGCAGAGCGTTCCAAATCCGAGGACCAAGGGCTGAAAAAGATTAAGCTCCAAAACGTTTTTGCCGAAAGCGTCGTTGACAGAGGAGCATGGCGTGTAAGGATTTAAAATATCCACACACTTATCGATTTTATTAATTGTCGTAATTCTGGGTATGATTCAAAGTGAGGATTGAGAAACAACAAAACTATTCTTTCCATATGTATGTTTGTTGAACTTATTTCGCACAGTACGTAGCGAACCATGCTAATCGGAGGTGTGGGAGGACAAAACTAAACACAAAAAGATGTTTTGAAGAAATTAGTTTTCAAACTAGATTTAAAAGTGCATAGCTCCAATGGCTTCCTAATATCGGAAGGAAGCGTGTTCCAGATGGCAACAGAAGCTGCTGTGAGGATGACCAGAGTTTGTGTGATGGTTTATGCTCCTTGATGAGATCAGCAAGGTATTCTGGTTCAGTTGTGGCAAGCACTTCGTGCGTCACGTGTGCGGCCTTACAATGTAGTCGTTCGGCAACCAGGAAGCCAATGAAGCTCAGCAAGCACCGGACAGACATGGTTGGATCTTGTAGCACCCGTCACGACACGTGCCAATGAATGTTGTGCATGCCGCAGTTTGCTAATGTTTTTACCAGACGTCCTGTAGAGTAGTGAGTTGCACTATTCGAGCCTTTTTGATACTATTATTACATGCCACCGTGTGGGCTATGTCACAACTCAATAGTAGACTAATGTGTCGCAGAGACCCCGATATGATAATTGCTCGACCTGACTATATTTTGCAGGTGGTGATCAAACGACATATGCTGGTCGAGGATGGTGCCGAGGCTCTTTATATGAGTAGAAAACTGAATACTGGAATTTGTGACCGCCACACCTAATCCTCCTACATAGAGGGAATGTAACAGCTACATGCCCAAAAATAATGCACAGCGGTGATATGAGTTCAGGCCACACTGCATTATGAAAAAAACTAAAATCTATATTACCCTCTCAGCACAGACCATCTCTGGGTCCTCCGCAAACCTCCTACATGAAGCTAAGCCCTCATTAATGATTTTGGAGGCTTGGTAAGATTTTGCTGGACATATATATACGCAGTCTGTTCTCCTGTAACGCGGGTTTTCATGACATGAATTGGATATAACGCGATGCGAATTGGATACAAAGCAATTTAGTGAAGAGAACTACTTCGCGCAAGTAGGAATAAGGGGTTGTACAGCTGCCTCAGCATAGCACGGCGGGATGCTGCTGGATGCTTCTAGATGCTATCCACGCGCCTCAGTTTTTGTTCGGCCTGCATACGCATCTCACGTATTATCGCGGACTGTTCTTATCCCATATATTATTTATAGTGACGTGATTTTTTCATAACGCAGTGTTCTTCAGGAACGCAACTACTGCGTTATAGGAGAATAGACTGATTGTAGAGCTCTCATTACTACAGGCAAACTGGGGCTGCCCCACGCTGAGAGCTGCCCTCTCACCAGACCGGCGAATCTCGGCGAGGAGGGCGGTCGCCACGAGGGCTGCCCCTTCACGCGTGTCGGCCATCTTGTCCAGCTGCCATCCACGCAGGAGCTTGCCGTGGTGCAGCGCCTGCACCGCCACCTCTAGCAGCTCCTGCACAAGCTGGACACAAGCGCACACAACAACAACAACAACCGCCATTCACCATTAAGTGGCGGTGACATCACCACGACGCTTGTGCCAGGCCATGTGCACCTTGAGACCATGTGAAGTGTCGAACGTCCGCTGGCAGGAGTTCACGGGGCAGACCCAGGTGCCACGGGTCGACTGACTGGGATGACCGAGATGACTGGCTGATGCAACACCTGTGCCCCCTACTGTGCCAACTTGCTGTGCTTTAGCCACCCGGCGCTCCGCTCGTTGTTGTGAGCGTCGCTCCTCCGCCCTCCGTTGTTGTTGGAGGGCGACTGCCTCCAACTGCCCAGTAGCGTCCTTCACGAGCCTCCTCCACAGAGGCCGATCTTGACACCGCTGGTACCAGTCATCGGCAAGTCCACTCAGCTCCACGTCCTCTACCACATCACTTCTTCTCTTCTCTAGCCCGTGCCACGCCCGTTTAGCCCCCTCGATCCGGCCGAACAAAAGCTGTTTAGGCATGCGGTGGCTGGGCATGCGGGCTACATGACCCAGCCAATGCAGCCTTGCCTGCCGGACGAGCTCACCGATGGGACTTTGCCCAGATCTTTCAAGGATTTGTGAGCTCCTCACACAATCCAGCCTGGTTAAACCCAGGATGGATCGTAGGCAGGCCAGCCTAAATGTTTCCAATTGGCGAAGATGCTCCATTAAGGGGGTCCACGTTTCGCAAGCGTAGAGAGGGGAGGGAATGACCGTGGCCGTGAAGACCTGAAGCTTAGTGCGGAGCAACAGACCAGGTAGCTTCCACACAGCGTTACGCAACCGATGAAAACATATTGCCGCTCGACTGATTCGGAGTGAGACCTCTGCTATTAAACTGGAGCCGGTCATAAGCACACTGCCCAGGTATGGGAAACTCTCCACTCTCTCCACAACTGTCCCATCACCGATTGGGAGTTGTGGGGGTGGAGTGTCCGATGGTACAAAATACCCAGGCAGGTGCTTAGTTTTGGTGGGGCTGATGGTAAGGCCCCATCTCTTAGTGGCACGCTCCAGTCTCAGCAGCAGCGTCTCCAACTCCTCCTCTGAATGAGCAGCTATTACCAAATCATCAGCATACATAACGTGGTTGAGCAATAGGGAGCCATCCCTTGACCGCACCCGGGCATCGATCAGCCTCCCATTATATCTGTACCAAATGGAGATTCCCCCGGTACAGCTATTGAAGGCTTCACGAACTACGTGGTCAAAATAGATGTTAAATAATGTGGGAGCCAGAGGACATCCCTGTCGCACCCCAAGGTGTACAGGGAATGGCTCTGACTCCCGGCCACGTAGTTTTACCCGGGCCCGCTCACCATCATGAAGGTCCTTAATGATTGTGAGCAGAGGGTCAGGGACTCCAAAAGCATGAAGAACAACCCAGAGCCCAGGCCTACTGATGGTATCATAGGCCTTGACCAGGTCAATAAAACAGGATGTAGGTCTTGCTGGAATTCCCTACACCTCTGCTGTAGCAGACGGACAGAAAATATGGCATTTGTGCAGGTCCGCCCTTTCCTGAAACCGCATTGGGGTGAAGATGCTCCATTAGGGGGGTCCACGTTTCGCAAGCGTAGAGAAGGGAGGGAATGACTGTGGCCGAGAAGACCTGAAGCTTCGTGCGGAGCGACAAACCAGGTAGCTTCCACACAGCTTTACGCAACCGATGAAAAGATATTGCCGCTCGACTGATTCGGAGTGAGACCTCCGCTGTTAAACCGGAGCCGGTCATGAGCACACTGCCCAGGTATTGGAAACTCTCCACTATACCTGAACAGTGTGCTCATGACCGGCTCCAGTTTAACAGTGCACACAAGCATAGACACACACGCACACACATGAACATGCGCACACATGCATATACAAAAAACAAAGATCCCCGTATAGCCTTAACAGACTGTTGGGGCAAGTGCTGTTAGCGAGCATAGACACACATGCATGAACACGCGCACAACACGCATTGGAAAAAACACACGTGACCATACGCACACACACATAGACACACAAAGACAAAGATCCCCCCCGTATAGCCTTTAGCAGATTGTTGGGGCAAATGCTGTTAGTGAGCATTTATGAAGGCCAGAAATGTACATGAGGGTATGGGTGGCCAGCAACCTGCCCAACCGCCTTTTTCTCCCTAGTGGCGATGTTTACACATTGCACCAGGTACTCATTTGAGGCTTAGTCAATCTAGGGGAGGCCCAGGACCAGATCAGATAATCATCACAAGTGTTGGCCGTGAGCTGGAATCGGGTCGCCGGGTTCGAAGCGCAGCGTGCTAACCGCATCGCCTGGAAGGCATGTACGCACACGGAGCACGTGTATTCCAGATGTGATTTGTGTGTAAATCCGTGTGGAGGCCGACGTGTGTGTGCACGTGCAAGCGCGTGCATGCCCTTCACACAGTGTACCCCGATCACCACTCGCTTATACACACGCCGACCCCACAGGCTACACAAAGACAAAGATTCTCCGTACAGCCTTTTATCAGACTATTGGGGCAAGTGCTATTCGCGTGCACCTATGAAGGAGGGCATGGCGCACGAAGGGGTGTGTGGCCAGCACCATGGCCACCTTTCTCTCCCCAGTGATATTTACACATTGCACCAGGTATTCAATTAAGGCTGAGTCCATCTAGGGGAGGCCTAGGACGAGTTTAAATATTTGCGACTGTTATTGGTCGAAAGCGGGGAAACAACACTAGGGTTACCGGGTTTGTAGCATAGAACGCTAACCGCTACACTACTGCTCCCCCCAAGCTACACACACACGCGCACGAGTGTACACATGCAGGGACGGTCACAATTGATGTGGCGTGCTCACCACTCATTTATCTCTCGACGTGTCCTGTCAGGCGAGCCTGCGTTCGATACCGACTGCCCCTACTCAAGGGCAGCGGCCGCTATCGTTAACTTTGGCTTCAGTTCAAACAGCGGTGCATCACTGAAGGGCATGTGGGATTCGACGGGAGCTGGTGCCCAACAGACGCCTAAGAGCGTGATGTACACGTACACCCCCCTTCCTCAATCCGCTGCTGAATGAGGGCCTCCCCATGCCGTGCAGGTCATGGGGAGAGGGGTTACTTGACCATTCCTTCAACATGCTGGTCGGTGTACAGTGAGGGAAAAAAGTATTTGATCCCCTGCTGATTTTGTACGTTTGCCCACTGACAAAGAAATGATCAGTCTATAATTTTAATGGTAGGTTTATTTGAACAATGAGAGACAGAATAACAACAACAAAATCCAGAAAAACGCATGTCAAAAATGTTATCAATTGATTTGCATTTTAATGAGGGAAATAAGTATTTGACCCCCTCTCAATCACAAAGATTTCTGGCTCCCAGGTGTCTTTTATACAGGTAACGAGCTGAGATGAGGAGGAGCACACTCTTAAAGGGAGTGCTCCTAATCTCAGCTTGTTACCTGTATAAAAGACACCTGTCCACAGAAGCAATCAATCAGATTCCAAACTCTCCACCATGGCCAAGACCAAAGAGCTCTCCAAGGATGTCAGGGACAAGATTGTAGACCTACACAAGGCTGGAATGGGCTACAAGACCATTGCCAAGCAGCTTGGTGAGAAGGTGAAAACAGTTGGTGCGATTATTCGCAAATAGAAGAAACACAAGAGAACTGTCAATCTCCCTCGGCCTGGGGCGCCATGCAAGATCTCACCTCGTGGAGTTGCAATAATCATGAGAACGGTGAGGATCAGCCCAGAACTACACGGGAGGATCTTGTCAATGATCTCAAGGCAGCTGCGACCATAGTCACCAACTAAACAATTGGTAACACACTACGCCGTGAAGGACTGAAATCCTGCAGCGCCCGCAAGGTGCCCCTGCTCAAGAAAGCACATATACATGCCTGTCTGAAGTTTGCCAATGAACATCTGAATGATTCAGAGGACAACTGGGTGAAAGTGTTGTGGTCAGATGAGACCAAAATGGAGCTCTTTGGCATCAACTCATCTCGCCGTGTTTGGAGGAGGAGGAATGCTGCCTATGACCCCAAGAACACCATCCCCACCGTCAAACATAGAGGTGGAAACATTATGCTTTGGGGGTGTTTTTCTGCTAAGGGGACAGGACAACTTCACTGCATGAAAGGGACGATGGACAGGGCCATGTACCATCAAATCTTGGGTGAGAACCTCCTTCCCTCAGCCAGGGCATTGAAAATGGGTCGTGGATGGGTATTCCAGCATGACAATGACCCAAAACACACGGCCAAGGCAACAAAAGAGTGGCTCAAGAAGAAGCACATTAAGGTCCTGGAGTGGCCTAGCCAGTCTCCAGACCTTAATCCCATAGAAAATCTGTGGAGGGAGCTGAAGGTTCGAGTTGCCAAACGTCAGCCTCGACACCTTAATGACTTGGAGAAGATCTGCAAAGAGGAGTGGGGAAAATCCCTCCTGAGATGTGTGCAAACCTGGTGGCCAACTACAAGAAACTTCTGACCTCTGTGATTGCCAACAAGGGTTTTGCCACCAAGTACTAAGTCATGTTTTGCAGAGGGGTCAAATACTTATTGCCCTCATTAAAATGCAAATCAATTTAAAAAAAAAATTCACATGCGTTTTTCTGGATTTTGTTGTTGTTATTCTGTCTCTCACTGTTCAAATAAACCTACCATTAAAATTATAGACTGATCATTTCTTTGTCAGTGGGAAAACGTACAAAATCAGCAGCAGATCAAATACTTTTTTCCTTCACTGTAGGTAGTGAAAACGGGGAGCATATACGTGAGAGCACAGAAGTACTGTACAACGATGGATGTATTGCTGCACTTCCCTCTGCTACCCACAAATACTCCGTAACAACTTGTTCTACGCATGGTGGCCCATCAGAGCACCTTTAGGCTATTTAGCTCCCGGGAAGCCTTTCCCAGGTAGTAAAGGCTTCGGTGTCTGGGCAACCATGTAGCCACCAGGCTCTGGACCTCGATCCCACGAGATGTCAGCATCTACGAGTTCATGAACATTTTTAACGCTCGTCTCAAAACGTATCTATGCGTATCTCGCCACACCTCCGATTAGCACCATTGGCTACGTACGGTGCGAAAGAAGTTCAACGTACACACATATAACTATGGGGCCTTTTTGCCAGTATCAAAATGATGAAACAGCAAAAATAGGTTTTACCCTTTCTGGCAATTTTTTATTTTATTTGTATTACCGAAAGAACCAAGAATAAGTCTACATTATAGACTGCCAGAACGCTCACTCAGTTTAATAACCATTGCTACAATCTAGATTATAAACCACCAATACGCTCATAAAACTTAAAAACCAGGCTACAGTCTACATTATAGACTGCCAGTACACTCCTTGAGGTTAAGAACCAGGCTACAGTCTACATTATAGACTGCCAGTACACTCACCCAGCTTAATAACCATTGCTACAGTCTACATTATAGACTGCCAGTACGCTCACTCAGATTAAGAACCAGGCTACAGTCTACATTAGTTGTTTCTTTTATTCACTTTATTTTTCTATCTACGTGACTTTACCGAAAGAACCAAAGCACATTAAAAAAACAGGTGTTAAGATGTACAAACACATCTTCTTATTGCTTCATAATTTTAACACTGCCAAAAACGTCCCATTGACGTAGCTACTCAACCCGAGCTCTAAATGCTGACACTTGCATGGTCTTTGTGCTGTTCGCCTATTGGCATTCACTGGTCTAACACTGGTGAGACTAGGCCATAAAGAAAGCTGTCTCTTGTGTAGGCCAATGAGTTTCAAAGACAATGCAGATATTATCAGAGCACGATTGTTTGCACGTTTTGCCACAAGTACCGTGTGTGGTTAATGCAGACTTGACGCCTTGCGAAAGTTATCTATTTGGTGTTTGAACGTCTTAACACCTGTTTTACTGGGTTAAAGCTTATTCTTATCGTTTCACAAGTATATACACATCTGTGATTTCAGCTTTTAGCTAATTTTGGCAAATAGGCTTTTGGAACTCATTTGATAATTTTATATATATTTTTTTCTTTCTTCATGTTAGTTTTCACGAGTTAGCCAACCGCACTTTGAGGTCCTTGATGAAAGGCGCGGGCGGTATAAATAGAGTCGATGTTGCTGTTGTTATTATCTGGCGAGATCTGGCACATTGTCAGCGATTTGATCAAAAGGCGAGGCACGTCATTAGTCGCATTGAGATGGGATGCACGGACAGTTGTGAAACGCGTTTAAATCAGACCACTAGAACACAAATGAGGTGAGAGTGAGCAGTCCATCTCTGCTTAAATCCCCACTCTCTACATCTGCATCTAAATCACTGCATACTTAACATGGGAGGTCAAGTACATGTAAATGGAGATGCCCCCATTAACAAGGAATGAAGGGAAAAGTGCTATTGCTTATGTCTGGAGGCGATTATCCCTGCAAACACAACACCAATTATCTTCCCAGGAAAGCCTCGCTGAGCCTTAACACTCGTCTTAAGGGTTCTACATTGGGATGTTTGGCCAATTCCGTCCATGAATTATTTAGCGTGTGGCAAGAGGAAACTGGAGGACCGGGAGGAAAATCCACCACAAGCATGCTTTGATATGATATATGCAAAGACAATGCATATATTATCAGAGCATGTTTGTTTGCATGTTTTCCACAAGTGTGGTGCGTGGTTAATGCAGTAACTTGATGCCTCGCAAAAGGTTTCTATTTGGCGTTTGAACATCTTAACACTTCCTGTTTTATTGCAAGAAAGGGTAAACACATATTCTTATTTCGATTTAAAGCTTTCGTGACTGCAGGGATTCATCTTCTGGGTTCTTTCGGTAAAGTCACGTAGAATGGAGATAAAATAATAAAAATAATAATAAAATGTTCACGACGTTTCGGCCACAACACAAGTAGCCTTCCTCAGGTGAAAAAACAGGACTGTCCGGAAGACAGCGCTTGAGTGAAACCTGCCAAGCTTGGAAGCGTCTTTTAAGCTGTGTGGGAGGAACAGAGCGCCTTGACAAAGGAGTTTAAATATAAATTAGCATGTAACTGGGGGATTAGCATGATGTTGGTGTGAGGGATTAGCACCACGGACAGCGACGAGCTTTGTTCAGACGGACGAGTCCATCTATCCCTCTCCTCCGTTCCGTACATAGATGGACTCATCCGTCTGAACACAGCTCGTCGCTCTCCGTGGTGCTAATCCCTCACACCAACATCAAGCTAATCCCCCAGTTACATGCTAATTTATATGTAAACTCCTCTCCCCCCTCCTCCGGTCCGAGCTCGTCGCTCTCCGTGGTGCTCATCCCTCACACCAACATCATGCTAATCCCCCAGTTACATGATAATTTATATGTAAACTCCTTTGTCAAGGCGCTCTGTTCCTCCCACACAGCTTAAAAGACGCTTCCAAGTTTGGCAGGGTTCACTCAAGCGCTGTCTTCCGGACAGTCCTGTTTCTTCACCTGAGGAAGGCTACTTGTGTTGTGGCCGAAACGTCGTGAACATTTTATTATTATTATTTTTATTATTTTATCTCCATTCTACGTGACTTTACCGAAAGAACCCAGAAGACATATTCTTATTTTTCATCATTTTGGATACTGCCAAAAAGGTATCCCATAGTCGGTCGCAAGTCAAGCCGTGAACTAGTCTTGGGAGGAAGTATTGGGTGGATGACTCGTGGCTAGTCCAGACGAATTCACTTTGATTAATGATGGCAAGTTGCCATCCACGCATGGGGCAGACTTTTACGTGGAATTGTGCAAAAAAAGTGAAGGTTGATTTCTGTTCAAACGACCGCGGAATGTTGGCTCCGCCAGTGGGAAAGTGGTGGAAAGTCCACATTACCATGACAAGTTAGCATTTTAATTCCCGTCATCTGAAATGTCTATAAGGTGACGCTAGACTTACGACGGCTCGACTTGCGACCCCCCTGCTTTTACGACCTTATAGTAATTAAGACCCCCAGAGTAACAACCAAAAACTCGCATCTACGACCGCCAAACGACTGCTACCAACGCCGAGTCGATAGGCGCGGTGCATGATATGCACAAACTCAGCGCCATCAGGCGACGAGTCTGCGTGAGTTATGCGCACACTCGTTGCCAGGTGGCGCTGCTTTGCTCTTCAACCGTATGGGTATGTAGAGGATAGGCCAACAGTCTGCAGCTGCGCCCAGAGGGAACGCAGCGGCGTCTCTTTCTCGACGCTCTTCACGTGAGTTTTCTTAAAATTTGGAAAACATTTCGCCTTTCGCTACGTCGAAGAACAGGAAATTCTATGCACGTACAGAAAGGCACTTGAGGATTTTCAAATGTAAGTGTTTGTTTTTACTTAATAAATGTTTGTAAAGGTTATGTTAAAAGTTACAATACATGTTTGTTCGGGTTATTTTAATTTATTTTCGTGGTCAATTTTGGTATTTTCGTGGTATGTAATGGGTTTCCAGGAATGGAACCCCAATGTATAACATTGCGCCCTATGGGGAGGGTCGCCTGTATGTAATTAAAGATTAATCACCTCCAAAGTTATTAAAATGTTTTTATTTTACCAGGTAAGGCCCACTAAGCTACGTAGCTCTTTTTCGGAAGCGACTTGGCCACAAATGATAGCGCGACGAAGTAGCTTATCAAGTATGTGGACATTTATAGCAGCCAAATACTCTAAAACGTTTTATAACACTCCAAAAGTCTGCACAAATGGGTTAAAACCCCCATTTGCTGCACTGCATTCCCCTGGCCACCTAAAAGCATCACAGGGTTTTAGAGTTTCACAAATCCTGCTGGGTTCAATTATTTGTGGCCAGATCGCTTCAGAAAAAGAGCTATATAGCTTAGTGGGCCTTACCTGGTAAAATAAAAAAAAGAACTGTTGCCACCTATGCGTTGGACCGCAGGTGTGTGACGACGACGATGATAATGATGAGCAGGTGGCTGTCCTCACCTGGTGGACCTGCTGACTGGCGACGCCTCCGTTCCTCTCGCCCACCATCCAGCAGAGAGCAGCGGCCTGCTCCTCCGCTCCTCCCCGCAGCACAGACGCCACGAACCTCACGAACCGCTCCTGACACACGTACTCTGCTGCCACGGAAACGCACACGCACACAAAGACTCCCTGTAAAGCCGTAGACTGAGAGCGGAAATGCTGTAAGCGAGATATCTATTAAGACCAGCATGGCGGACAAAGCGGTATGGGTGGTGTACGTCGGCGCCATGCCTGTGCCTTTGTCTCCCCAGCACTGATGTTTACACACCAGGTACTTCTTTAAGGCTGAGCAGACCCTCGGGGAAGCCCAGGACTGGTTCATGTATCACTTGCCACCGATAGTAGCCGTGGCTGGGAATAGTCACACACCTGTGGTCCTGCCCCGACTTGACATTTGTGAAGAAGAGCTTTATAGCTCATCGGATTCCTCCAGTATAAATACATATTCTGATTCTGAACTCGGGATGCCGGATTCGTAGAGCAGTACAAGAACTGAATAGACCAAGATACAGTCTCATTCGCAAGAGCGACCTGGGAAGAAGACAATCCTGAGAAAAACCACAACATGTGGGGGCAATCTCAGGCACTCGGGAGAGAAGGAGCAGGAAGAGGAGGTGTTAACCTGCTGGGGCAGGTTTCTTGAGGGTGGGGTCGTACGCGTGGCTCATTCCCCGGAACAGGCTCAGCAGCAGCACCTCCGGCAGCGCAGGTTGCACGAATTGCTGTCACGGCCGGCACGTAAAACGTTAGGACGCAAAAATAAAAACACACGGCTATCATCATTTGCCGGGCAATGGTGGCTCACGTCAGTAATCCAGCACTGTGAAGGTGAGGGTTGGTGGATCGCAGAAATGTTGTTGATCTCCCTTCCCGTGGGTGTCGGTGAGGTGTCGTACCCTGGCTCGCCAGAAGGCGGCAAAAATGTTGATTCCACCTGTTCCATATGTATGGCATAGAGTAGTGTTCTAAATTGCAAGGCCCGCGGGCCACTGGCAGCCCCCGGTGGCCTTGAGTGCGGCCCGTAACAATACACAAATGTGAAAACACCCCATTGTGCTGTCAAATACAACGGTATCAAATGTGTGGCGGCCCTCACTGATGATGTTTTATCGGCGAAAGTGGCCTACCTCTGAAAATTCGTGAATAACACTGGGCTAGAGTGTTTCCCCCTTGCATGCGTCCTTTTTTTTCTTTCCGGGTGCTCTGGGTTCCTTCAACATGTAAACACCCATGAATTGGCCAGTAACACCTTAATATATAGAGGAACGTACAGCTTGGGCAATTGTTGGTGCCGCCTTAATGCATGGCTGCCTTCCTGCGTTTTTGTGGTTTCTTGCGCCTCTGAGTTGTCCTCTCTCCTCGAGAGTGAGCGAATACTGTGAGGCGCGTTGCACGTTTAAATGATTATTCATTCTAGTCCAGCTGTAATAACTATTGTAACTGCATGCTTTAAAACAGTTGAGTATCTTCTTTGGTTCTTTCGGTAAAGTCACGTAGAATGAGAATAAAATAATAAATTGATAAAATAAAATAACACAATAATATTCTCACGACGTTTCGGCCACAACACAAGCGGCCTTCATCAGGTGAAGGGACGAGACTGTCTGGTAGGACAGCGCTGGATGATGTTTTATCGGCTCCAGCGCTGTCCTACCAGACAGTCTCGTCCCTTCACCTGATGAAGGCCGCTTGTGTTGTGGCCGAAACGTCGGGAGAATATTATTGTGTTATTTTATTTTATCAATTTATTATTTTATTCTCATTCTACGTGACTTTACCGAAAGAACCAAATAAGATGAATCATTGCAGTCACGAAAGCTTTAAATCGAAACAGTTGAGTATATTGCTCCTGATTGTACACGTAGAGCCTTGTCAGTCCACAGCAGGCCAAAACGTCTTCACAATGAGTGCATCGTGGTGCTTACTTTGTCCATACTTCACCACACGGGTCGGCGTGAGTTAAGGTGGGGACCATAGACGTGCCAGCATTTGTGGTGCATTACAATGGATTTTCCTGCACTGGCCTCTGCTGCTCATCACGTAGCCCTGCAGCCTATGTACGTGTGTAGCCAACCGTGCGAATCGGAGATTTCTATGCATGGTCACCCATCCAAGCACTACCCAAGCTCAAGTCTGCGTAGCTTACGTCATCTGATGACATCAGACTTCTGATCATGGAACAACAGCCTCCACTGAGCAGTCGCACCTCCGACTGGCACAGTTGGCTACGTTCGGTGCGAAAGAGGTTCAACATACATGCACATACAGCGGCCGCGGGCGCCGCTGGCCACCAAATTGACAGCATGCCTGGCTTGTGCCAGGCTAGGTGGACTTTGAGGCGATGATGTGAAGTCTCAGAGACTCTCGACTGGCAGGTGCCAACGGGACAGGCCCAGCAGGTGTTATGGCTCATCTCAGATGACTGGCAGATGCAGCAACTGTGCACCCCATTGATGATGGGAATAATTTAGTTTGATTTGTATATTTAGAAGTGATGTTTACCTTTCCTATACTTTGCACTAATATCGTGTTTTTTGTATTGGTTGTTGTAACGTTCTTACCAACCCCTACTGGACATCTGTGAGAAAGAGCTTTGAAGCTCATAGCATTCCTCCAGTATAAATATTCTGATTCTGATCCAAACACTCAGGCGCAGACAAACACAACGGGCCATCGTGACAATCATGATGATGATCGTAATGAATAAGCCTGACGCTTGGAACCGCAGCGCTGAATTATCTCACCCGTAGCGCTGCCACGTTGAAGCCCTCGCCGGGTCCCTGTTGCTTGGCCGCTTTGCCCGCCGCCGCCGCTGTCGAGGCCGTCCCAGGTCCCCGCGTGTGGGCGATCGAATCGTACCCGCGGCTCAGAGTCGCCCGCTCCTCGGGTCGAAAGCGGGCGAGCTGTTGCTGTAGAGCGGCACCGCCGCCTCCCATCGCGTTGCCCATTGCTGATCGAGCGAGCAAGGGGGACCGGTGTGAGAAGGGGAGAAGGGTCGGAGACCCGCGGTTAGCCGAGTGGGAAGATGCGCTCAGAGACCCGCGGCGCGCATGTGGACAGAGCTGCACCAACACTCTCTCTGCCCTCCCCCCCCAACTCCACCTCCCCAGTCAATTGTCGATGATTTGGGGCAGTAACCCACGGTGGCCGATGTCCAGGCTACTGCCGCAATGCAGTTGATGGAGACTTTAACGAACGGGCATGGCCCTGGATTTAAAAAGCAATGCAGTGCCATCATGGGTCAAAGTAACACCCCTCCGCCGCCGTTCATAGTTAGTTCATAGTTCCATTTATTTGGTATAGCCCTGTGAACCATTTGGCTCTTGAATCGGGTGCAACCGCAACAAACAAAAAACATGAACAAGAAAACATCTTAAAGTGACTATGTGACTGTGCAAACAGAAAATCCAGGAAAAAACATCAAAATATTCCTGAAATAGCACCGTACACCAATGCTGTGTGCAAAAATCCCAGTGGGATGCAAGTCAAACAACAACAACAACAACCACAAGACAACTAAGATTAAGACCATCAGTCTAACTCCGTACAATAAACAAAAACATGGCCAAACCAAAAAACTTTTCGAAATCACCAAAATAAAGCCATAAATGCAATGTAACAGTGATCATAGGGACTGTGACCGAATTTTTTTACAATAAACTACATAAATAACATGTAACACCAAACCCTAGAGCCATAGCCTGCTGCATGAGTCACTCCACAACAACAGGAGCATCAGTCTGAGTATCACATTTTTCAATGCACCTTTAAGATCAGCAACATAAATCAAAATACAGATAATACTTTGCAGAGGTCATCCGGAGCGAAACATTTTATTTTAGGCCACTGAATAGCAGTGGCAGCTCGGGGTGTACAACTCCTCTAGAGCAGTTTTGAGTGAAGATCTCATAGGTAGTGATTCAAGTTGCAGTTTATTGGCAATAGCATTCCAGACCCTGGGGGCATCAATAGCAAAGGCCCTTCCTCCGGTTTTTATACGGCAATAGGGAATGTGAAAGCTGGTAAATGAGCGAAGACCTGAGGTCAAATTTGTTTTTTGAAACAGAGAGGAGATCCAGCAGGTAGTCTGCGAATTTTTTTGTAAGTACATCGTGAATAAATAAGAGCTGGTGCACAAGCCGTCGAACATTAAGCGATGTTAAGTTTGACCCAATGTAGAAATCACAGTGGTGAGTCCTATATGGGCAGTTCAATGCAAATCTTAAGGCCGAGCGATAGATGGAATCAAGCTTCTTCAGTGCAGTACTTGGGCCTGATTTATACACGATATCACAGTAATCAAGTAAAGGCAGTATGGTAGCTTTGATCACTTCCAAAGGTAACATTGGGGGGAATCAGTGCTTGTGTTGATACAGAAAACCAATTTTTATTTTTGTCTTTTTACCAATATAATCAATGTGATCTTCAAAATTCAGTTTTGAATCCAGGATGACCCCAGAAGGCAATCGGGCGTTGGGTGGCGCTCACGTTCAGTTTAGCCCCGAGTCCAGGGTGGAAATTCCACATTCCTATGACACGCAACAGACACTGGTGACTTCTTACAAAGCGGTTTACTATTTTATTGGCCACAGAGGCAACGGTGATTGGTGCTGTTCACGATGAGTCGAGTCGAGCGTGGAACCAAGTTGGAACTTCCTCGTTTTAACTATAACGCCACCCAATAGATAAACAAGCAACTAAAGTCGAATCCTGTCCACTACTTTATAACTCCATAAACAGTACGAAATAAAATCACGAGAAACCATTTGGACATCGTCAGCAAGACCCACCCACCCCACCTCCCCCTCACCGATTCGAATCCGGACGCGGCTGCGGGACTCGGTGCACCAAACCCGGCCGAATCGCTAGGAAAGAGGGAGGCACCGCGTAAGGCCTACCGCTACATGGGGGGCTCCCAGGGCCCCCCGCGACCCCGCGGCCCTCATTTGCCAAGGCCGGCCCGGGTCCTCCCTGCAGCGCTAGCGGCCAAGCTGAAGAGACTCGGTGGTCGCCGAGGGGATGTTTGGGGAAAGAGGAGAAGGAAGAAGTCAAAGGGAGCCGACAGCTCGCCGCGCGGTGTGTGTGGGGATCGGTGGTGGAGCGGTTAGCGCGCTGCGATACGAACCTGGCCACCCGGGTTCGACTCTTACCTCACGGCCAACACCCGGTGACGATTTTTCTGAACCGGTCCCGGGGCCCTCCCCTTAGGTCGACTCAGCCTCAAATGAGTACCTGGTGCGATGTGTAAACATCGCCACTTGAGAGACAAAGGCGGCCGGGCGTGGCGTTGGGCCACCCACCCCCTTTCGTGTGTCGTGCCGGCCTTTGTAGGCGCTACTCGCTAACAGCACTTGCCCCTACAGTCCGTTAAGGCTACACGGGGGATCTTTGTCTTTGGGGTAAACACGGCGTGTGACGTCACCGCGGCGCCTCCCGCCGTGGGATGGGGGGGGGGCCTCGGAGGAGTTGGAGCGGAGGTCGCGCTGGGCATGTAGGGGGGGCAGTGCTTGGATTGTGACGTGGGTAGGGGGGGGGGTACCTCCACAACTGTTGAACTTACACAAAAAATCGTAATAAAGGTTGGAGTAATTTTTTTGGGGGGGGGTGGAGGGGTTAGATCGCGTAAATGTGTCGTCAAACAACCGCCACCACCCGACATCGCCAATTGCGTGCCAATTACATCCACAGCTGTCAACCCATACGGTTTAACCCCGCAATCTTGCACAGAGGAATTGCGTGTACATGTCCCCCGTACGGGCACACATTGTTCTGTATATTAGTTTGTGTTTTTTCTCCCTTGTGATGGGACTTTGTAGGATGAACGTTGAGGTTTATAAGGGCACGGGGTGACCAGTAAGGTCTGGATTGGTCCGTAATAAGGCAGGCGCTGATAAGGGGTTGCCAGCTATTAAATTAGCTGTCTGTTTCAGCACTCCGGTGTGTTGCAGAGGTAAACCCACAGCATTTGGAATTCAAGTACGACGTTTCGATGGCGACTACAACCAGCTTTATCAGGCGAGTTGGCTGTCGGGTGGTGGCTGAACGACACATTTATATTTACACAATCTCACCCCCCAATAAAACCTTTTATTCTGGATATCGGTCGCGAAAGCCTACTACGTGTTTAAGAAAAAAATATATACTTGAAGCAGTTTGTCAACTTCCAGATAAAACTAAGAAAGTCCCGAGGCGTCGCGAGCTCGTTATTCGAATGTCGACTACAAAAATCAAAGTCGCCGGAAAAGCGGACTAAGTATTCCCGAGAGCGAATCTCGGCAAGGTGCATCGATGTTGCTTACTTGAAGCAACTCCGTAACAATTGAGTGGCGCTCAAGTGACACTTGCCATGCCATTGTGATGGTGGTCGTTGTGACCCACATGGGCGAGAGATGATGGTGGTCGCGAGTTGGTGTGCTGTCATCGGGGTGGAAAGTGCTGATCGAGGGTAGTTGGATGTGATGCTCGTAAGGGGAAGGGATGTCTAATGTGTGTCGCAAGCCTGTAATACAACACCCGAGGGCTGATGGATGTCGCGAAGCTGCCTTCACATGGGCGTCGAGGTTGTCAGAATACCCTGTGCTCACCAGGAGATGGTGTCACAGCAACAAATGTGGACTCCGCCTGTTGGGCCTGGATGGGCGAGGGCAGCGTTCTTCATTGCAAGCCCCGCGGGCCCCCAACAATACACAGCACGTGACAACACCCCCCACCGACCCCCATCATCATCGTGCTGCTGTCAAACCCAACAATGGTTTCAAATGTGTGGCGGCCCTCAAACACACTGATGATGTCTTATCGGCGAATGTGCCCCCCCCCCCCAAACTCCACTCTGAAAATGAGTGAAGCACACTGGGCTGGAGCGTCGTCCACCCTCGCGGATTTTCTCCGGGCGCTCCAGTTTCCCTCCCGCATGTAAACAGTCATTAAACGACCGATATAAACATCTTAATATTTGTTGTTTAGTCTGTCCGTCCCCCCACACACCTCCGATTGGCTATGTACGGTGCGAAAGAAGTTCAACACGCACACATACGTATAATATATAGAGAGGACGGCAGAGCTTGGGGACCGTCCATAAATGACGTCACGCGATTTTTGACCCCCCCCCCCCGTCGTCACACGTCGTCACAAAAAGTCAGACCCCCCTCAAATATGACGTCACAAAGCTCTGCCCCCCCCCACCCAAAATATATAAAACATGCTTCAAATCGCTTTAAACTATTGTCATTGTAGTGCGTATTTAATGTGGCGCTGCACTCTGATGTTGTAGGAGAAAACATTTATATAAAAAAGTATATTTAATTAAGTAGAACGTGTTGTCTATATTTATTTAAAGTTGCGCATTTTGATGTGACGTCACATTTCTCAAACCCCCCCCCCCCCTCGTCACACATCGTCTGACCCCCCCCCCCAGGTGCGTGACGTCATTTATGGACGGCCCCTTAGGAGTTGCGTCTGCTTCACTTCACGTGATAACCGTCAAGCACCCAACCAATAATAGGTACTGCAGATTCTCAGACGGACATGATCCTTTGTAATTTATAGGACTACATTCACCCCCCCTCCCCCTCTGGTATTCGCGCCTGATAGGCTCAGTAATGACAACACCTTAACTCCTCGATTTAAGACCGGAACACTTCTTCACAATTCTGGCCAATCGCCTGACGAAGCTGGTCGTGATCAACAGCGAAACGTCGTACTTGAATGGTAAATGTCGTGTGTTTACTCTCCAACGCAAAGGTGTGCTGAAGTTAGTAACCAATTGGCACGTTTTGTTTACGTGACGAACCTGACAAATTGAACTGTGTCGGGTGGTGGCGGGTTTAACGACACATTGATATTTACGCGATCTAACCCAAAAACTGTATTCTGGTTTTTATATATGTTTTTGTTTATCTAAATCTGAGTTCCTAGTTCAACGTGACCCGCCACCTCCATCACTTGCACAGCGCCTTGCCCCCCAATAACGAGTTGTGATGTTAACCACTCACATTTGGCGTCATCGCTCTGTCGCTATTGTCCACAATTGAAAGTTGCTCAACCTGGCGACGAAACGGATAAGTTGGCAGCAGCCTCGTAACCGCCCAGGAGCGTCCTTCACGAGCCTCCTCCGCAGAGGCCCGATCTTGACATCGCTGGTACCGATCATCGGCAAGTTAAATCAGCTCCACATCCTCCCGTACCACATCAGCCCGTCTCGTCTCCAGCTGGTGCCGTGCCCTTTCAACACCCCCTCTAAAATTGGCTTTAAACACTCGGCTAATGCAAACAAAACCCCGGTGTACGTCGGGGATGAGTTCCTGAAAGGTTGTGACGAATATCTAAGGCTTGTGTCAATCAAAGCAGTGTCCAGGGTTTGGTGGTGGAGGCGAAGGCTGAGAGGCGACGAATACCAGGAAAGACGGGCGATGCGTGTGGCTTGAGGCGACGCAAATGAGGTAGGAGTGGTCGTGATAAAGCCACGACGAATTTGCAAAACAATGTGAAAGGAGGGGGGGGTAACGCAAATCGGGGTATCACTGTACCTTATTCGGTTAACGTGGCGAGCATAATCGGTTAGTTCTTTTTTTTTTAAACTATCTCAAAGGTCATAGGACGTGCAAAACTCATCGACGATACCATAGGTCCCGGATTCCTTCCGGATCAGAAAGATCCCTGACGTTGCTCTTCAAGACAAACATAAACTTGCATCAGTGCTATGACCGAGAAAGTGACTCACAGAAAGAAAAACAAACCCGATTCTAATACAGTAGCGATGTAGATGGTGAAACATACCTCCCGTCTGTGTATTAGTTTAGATTGTTTTCTAGTCGATTGGCCCCAGGGTAATTCTCTTCCACTTCGCTACAGCCTGCACCACACACACACACAGAAGCACATTCCAGCGCCTGACTTACCCACCCAGTGTGAAGGACACTTGCCAGTCACAGCCTGCCCAGTGTAGCTGCGACTTGCCATTTCATCACGAGCCAGCGTTGGTTGAGTGACTCCCCACGCCTTTTGGAGGGTGGGGATTTTGTGTGGATTGAGGGTGATTGTGAAGGGGTTAGGGCCAATTCAGATATCACTTGTCACTGATGTTGGCTGTGGCCAGGGACTCGAGCTCAGGTTTCCAGGACTGGACCAGTGACCCAACACAGTTAGCCTTTTGAGCCACCCAGCCAGCTCACTGGTGGGTCAAAGACATGAGGCATCGCTTTCTAAAGGTGCAACCGTGGGCCAGCTGCTGGCATGCAATTGGAACAGTTGGGCCAAAGTTGGCCCCCGACGTTCCACGTGTATCCCCAAGACATACTGCAGAGTGGGAAATAACGACACGGTACCTCGTGCGTGGCTCGTACACGTGTAACAGTGTATTATGTACATCCAGGGTCACAAATCCAACTCAGGGAGGCGAACACTGCGGGTTGTGTTTTTTTGCGTGCGAAAGTGGGCACCATTACACATCACATTTAAAACCGGCATCCAACACAAACCCCCATTTGCGACGCTCGTACACACTGTAGAAACACAAACCCTTAAAAAAATAAAATATTTCGGAATAAATACAGTATGTACAAGAATATTGTATAATAATAAGTATCCACCGCGTGTCTATGTACATATAAAACCAGTCGGGCCCCCGGGGGGTTCAGAAAACGCTTTATCCCGTCGATTGCTCCTGTGAAGGCCAAGCTATGTGGGTTACCAGCTTTAAAGAGGTGCCCGGGGTCCAGCTAGTGCGCGTGTTTAGACGCACGTTGTTTGGCACGATACCACGACACCTCGCTCAAAGTGCTGGGAGCTTTAGAAGTTTCAGTTTCCTGAAACCTACGGCTACCCAGAGCAAAATGTTGGTATCAGTATTGAAGAAGCTCGTGGAGCAAAACGTCGGACATCGTCCCAAACAACAGGTGTCAGTACAACCCGAACACGCACCGCAGAGCTGTGCGCCACGACCTTGAACACCTACGCGGCAGGTGTCTGTGTGACGTTTTTGGAAAAGGAACAGGGGGGGTTGGGTATCAGAGCAGATCGTTGTAAAAAAAAAGACCATTTAACACGTCCAATGACCACGCATTGAAAGAAACAGTTGTAGATGCCATTATGGAGTAGAGATACTGGTGGGTGGGACACGTGTAGGATGGAGGAGGCCAGGTTGCCTAAGCAGGCACTGGAGTGGTACCCAGAGTTCAGAGACGAAACGAGAACACTCAAAGCCAGATGGTGCGACACTGCAAGAATGGTTCTTGGAGGACGCATGCCGACCTTACAACAGTGCACGGATCTAGCATAGAGAAGCAAGCCATGGCAACGTATGGTGGCGTTGGCCGTGATCATCTCAAACTGAATATTCTGACGACCGGCCCATGTAACAATAATAATATATATTATTACTAGTGGGTTTTATTTAGTTATTTATGCAGCAAACTCCCCGCCCTCTCGTGCACCACACCAGGCTTAATAGATGGAAGCTAACAGCACTTGTCTTAACAATTGATGTAGGCTATGCGGAAGTCTTTGTAATTGTGTGTATAAATATACACACACTCATAGGAGGGGTAGTCAAAGTCCTACCACTCACCACACATCATATATTAAATTAAGTCACCAACATACCAATGATCATATTCACCAAGTAGTACACAGGGGCTTGGAAGTTAGCCTAACATCAGCATTGTATAAACAATATTTATTACACTGTAGCATTAAAAATTATGACCACACCCCATATATACACACAACAATGACAAAGAACCCCCGTGTAGCCATACACACTGTTGTGGCAAGTGCTATTAGCGAATATTTATTAAGGCCAGAATGACACATAAAAGGAATGGCGTGTGGAACAGCACCACCCCTGGCCACCTTTGCCTCCTCAATGCTGTTGCCCACGGCACCGGGTACTCATTGAAGGTTGAGTCAGTCTCGGGGTGGTCCAGGACCAGTTCAGTCACCATTTGCTGGGAATCAAACTCAGGTCGCCAGGTTCATACAGAGACACACTCACACGTGCGCGTGGAACCCCGGAACGAGAACCCCCACCCCGGGCTAAATGCCACGGGACAACATTTGCCGCGCAGATATGTCACACACACACACTTGCTATCCATCTCACAGTAAATTAACTCTCAAACAACATCTGCCAAAACACCCACACTCTCCCTTGGCAACCGCATCGGCCCTTACTATTTATGGCCTTAATTTTCCCTCCTCTTTTTTTTTCCTTCCCTCCCTATTTCACGGTGTGACATTGCCATTTCAATAATCGCACGAGCAAATCCGATGCGGGCCCAGAGAACCGAGTTGAACCGAGACCAGGGCCGATGGACTGGTGGTTGCCAAGCACCGGGGGAAGGGCGCAGGTTGGTGGCTCTGGTGGTGAGATGTTACCTGCCTCGCCTGGTATACAGGAGGTCGTGGGTTTGACCTCAACCATAGCACCTGTATAATTAGAGTTTGCATGCTCTCCCCGTGGCCGCATGGAATTTTCTCCGGGCACTCCGGTTTTTCCCTTAGAATCAACGTGCGTTTAGAGTATTTGGCTGCTATAAACGTCCAAGCGATAAGCCACTTTGCTGAGCTATCATTTGTCATAGCCAGGTCTCTTCTGAAAAAAGAGCTATATAGCTCAGTGGGCCTTACCTGTTAAAATACAAATAGTTTCGTTTTAGTCCGAGGTGGCACGAGGGGGGGGGGGAGGGAAATCGCAGAAATTAAAATACTGCTGTCATGACTCCACTACCTGGGTTGCGACGTTCACCAATTCTGCCCATTTGCACTTCCATTCAGTGACGACTGGAAATTGGTAAACACGGAATTCTGGGAGTGTTAGATTGTCATTAAAATCTGGGAGGTGACCTTGGGATCTTTTGAGGACAGCGCAAAAAAAATATTGCTGATGGGGCATGTATATTACGTTATATTTCAAATACAAATTTGATTTGGTCAATTTACACAGCAGAAATGGCTCAACCCAACTGAGCCAGAGCGACCCCCAGTAATCGGAGGTTTGTACTGCTGCGAGAAGCCACCTCTGCATCTCGTGCTCACGAGACCCACCAAGTCGGCTGGTGAGCAGCGGCGACCGAAACCTTCTCACAGTGCGAAGGCGACGAGCGTCAATCAGCTGGGTCGGAAGGAATCGGCGTCCCGAGTGCCGCGCGGACACCTGTGGGAAGCGCTGGGAGGTTTGGTGGGGAAACCCAGCGCTTTCTCTCTTGAGCTCCCGTCTACAATCAGGGCTCTTCAACTGGCGGCCTCCACGGGCCACAAATCTGGCCAGGAAAAAGCTCGCAAGAGTGGCGCCAAGCTATGGCCAGCTGATTATCGAGACAAAAGGGAGATAAACAAGGCATGGAGCCAAGTTGCAGACAGCAGAGATGAGAGACCTCAAGATGGGAGGTAAACATTTCTGAGAATAAGGTGAGATCAATAAGAGGAAGAAGAGACCTGGAGACGAGAGATAGATTAGCGATCGTACGTACAGACTTTAACATTTGTACAGTACTTGACGTGTGACGGCACGGGGCACCCCATGACATGACAATGTTGTTATGCGGCCCGCTGGTAACTATAGTTGAAGAACCCTGGTCCCCGAGGTACTGTGCAATTTATAAACGCTTTATAAACTCTGCGTGTTCCTCGCCGCGTCACTCCAAGGCACGTGGCAATTCACCTACCGAGCGATTCGATGAATTGTCATGTTTCAAGGGTTGCGATCGGATGCAATTCTTTTGGCCTCCGTTTTAACGTCTCGCCTCTGATGTTCCCCGCTCGTTCCGTTTGATTTGTACAGCTTTGTTCGCTCCGCTAGCCTCAAATGTTAATGCGGGCACGTGATTTGCACGCAATATGCGCCAGGTTGTAAACGATGCTTTTTTACACGTATTGCTTTGCATGTATTCGCGAGCATCAGAATCGATCGTTTAATCGACGAATCGATGCAATATCACGTGCCCGACGGTCTTTCTCCACTGTGGTCAAGGGCTCGCTGTGCGGGTTGCCGTCCACAGGGGGACGTTACCGGAACACGACGCTGCACAACCAGGACATGAAGCTGCACACTCGGGCACCCGCAAACACCACATACAGTACCACGCCACTTACACGCACGCTCACACACCCACGTGCACACAAATCATGCACACGGCACACATGCGCGAAATCTGCCGGCGTCACATCCACCGCTTGTGCGCGCGCGCGTGAGTGCACGCACGCGTGTGTGCACTCGCGCGCGTACGCGAAAACACACGAATCATGCACTCGCACACACCATGCACGTACGCGCTGGAAGGCCAGGCCAGTTGCATCACGCGACGGGCGAAACGTCGTCGGCAGCGCCTCCACGCGGTCAGCGCCGTTCGCAATTGTTTCCATCTTCTTAACTGCAAAGCGCATCACCCGCCAGGAATTACCCGCGGCGGCAATAAATCGCTTTCGCCAACATAACGGAGAGTTCGCAGCCCCTCGCAGACAGGCCCCAAATCCCAGCAGAGCGAACTTTGGCTTTCATCCGCGCCGTCTGGAACTCCGCTGCCAGCCGGCTCAATTCCACGTTGGCGGAACGAGCGCCAGCAAACGAGCGCACGCGGTGTCCGTCCGTCCGTCCGTCCGTTCGTCCTGGCACTGAACCGCTGCTGCCTCCATCTCGGTCTGGCTCTCGGAGAACGACGTGGGAGGATCGTGGGCCGGCGATCAGAGGCTGGCGAGGAGGCGCGCGGCGGATATGATGACGGTGATGACCGTCTGCCCCGAGCCAAACACCAGCGCCTCCAGCGGAAGCATAGTCTTGCCGGCGGCGCGGTAAACGCCGGCCACCGCGGCACCTGGCGGGGGGGGGGGGCATGGGAGGGGGGGGGGGAAGGGGGGACGGGGAGGGGGGGGCGGAGAGAACAGCGTTAGCAGGCGGCAGCGGGCCAATGCTTTGGAGGAAAAGGTTTTTGTATCTTTTGGAAGATTTGTGAAACTCTTCCAACGGCCCTCAGCCATGAGCTCGCAGTATGGGGTAAGTGGGTTCATGAACCCATCGGTGTGGACCTTCGAGGTCTAGCCTCGCGTAAGCAAGGTTTTCTCTGGATATCATAGTTTTCTCCCGAATGCAAAAAAACACTTTTTATAAAACATTTTTTATAAGAATTGGACTCTCCTGGAAAACAGTTTTGACACTCAATGAGGCATACCTGTAAAAAAAAATGCATTATTAATGTCAGTGGGGAGCTGTAGCACAACGATGTGTGCTCTTGGCTACCACTGTGCGAACCTGAGTTCGATTGCGAACCATGGCTAACATCAGTGTGGAGCGATATCTAAACCGGTCCTGGGTCCCCCCTCCGTGTGATGAAGTACACACTGTTCTCCTATAACGCCGCGTGATTTCACAACGCGGATTGGATATAACGGGTTTGAGCGTGAACAGAACTACGCTGCGCGAGAAGTAATAAGCGTATTCTTTGTTCTTTCGGTAAAGTCACGTAGAAGGGAAACACAACGGTTTGTGCTCTTGGCTACCACTGTGCGAACCTGAGTTCGATTGTGAACCATGGCTAACATCAGTGTCGAGCGATATCAATGAGCCACTGCCTACAGGAAAGCTACCCATACGGATGCTTACCTGAAACCGGATTCCTACCACCATCCATCCCAGAAGAATTCCCTCATCAAGACTCTGCACCATAGAGCCCAATGCATATCCCACCAGGAACACGTAGCCAGTGAACTCAAGCATGTACACCAAGCTCTTAAGGCTAATGGTTACTCTGACTACACAATCCGCAAAGCTATCACTCCAACCATGAAGAAGGACCCTCTTGAGGAGCCTTTCAAAACCATCACTTTACCCTACATTGCGGGGATCACAAAAAAGATCTCCAAAATCTTGAATAAACACAAGATCCAGGTCCGATTCAACACATTACATAAAATCCGTGATCTGGTTCCGTCTGTAAAAGATGTGATTCCGGACATACAGTACCCTGGCGTCTACAAACTAAGTTGCCTCTGTGGTAGTAGTTACATTGAAGAAACCAAACGACATGTCTCGGACCGCATTCGTGAACACAAAGCAGACCTAAAACACGGTAGGACCAACACCTCGCCCGTGGCAGATCACTGTTATAATTCAGTAGGCTCACATGACATTGACTTCTCCAAGACAGATGTTCTTTGCAAGCCATCTGGCTACCATGAGAGATTCGTTCATGAGGCTATCCACATATACAAACACAAAAACAATTTCAACCGAGAAGATGGATTCTGGTTTCGCAATCATTGGAAGGATTTGATAAACCATTTCGGTTCTTAATTGATTGTTCACGCTTACGGTGGCTTTCAGACCGCATCCATTATTTTCGTCTCCCCCCTCCTCTTTTCCGAACATAGATGGACTCACATTCTTAGTTTTTTCGGTAAAGTTACGTTGAAGAGAAACAACAAAATAATAAAATATATATAAAACAATAAAAAAAATTCTCACGACGTTTCGACCATAACTCAAACGGTCGTCTTCAGGTGTGTTGGTTCGCATAAATTTATTTTTAAACGGCGCATTTATTTATTTATAAAAAACGTTAGCGCCACGCGCAACGATTTGGCAGTTTACCCAGGACTAGTCCATCTATATTCTGAAAAGAGGAGGGGGGAGACGAAATTTTTTATAATGTATGCTGTCTGAAAAAACTAAGAATATGAATTACTGCAGTCACGAAAGCTTTAAATCAAAATAGATGGACTCGTCCATCTGAATAACTGCCAAATCGCTCTCCATGGAGCTAACGTTAAAAAACGCCATTTTTTCAAATTTTCTTGCTGTGGTTTTCACACCTGATGATGATTGCTTGTGTTGCAGTCGAAACGTCATGAGAATTTTATTGTTTTATATTTTTATTATTTTCTTTCCCTTCTACGTGACTTTACCGAAAGAACCAAGAATATGAATCCCTGCAGTCACGAAAGCTTTAAATCAAAACTTAGTAATAAGCGGTCGTACGGCTGTCTCTGCGTAGCATTGCACAAGGCAGTGGGATGCTGCTGGATGCTTCTAGACGCTACCCACGCGCCTGAGGCTTTGTTCAGCCTGCGTGCCCATCTCGCGTGTTATCACGGACTGTGCTTTGCCCTATATTATTTATTGTTTCATTACAACGTGCTTTTTCCATAATGCGGTGTTCTTCAGGAACGCAACTACCGCATTATAGGAAACGGACTGATCAAATAACAGTCTCCATGACCAGAGGTCGGCAACCTGCGGCTCCGGAGCCACATGCGGCTCTTTAAGGACTGCCGCTTCGTGACCTTATTTATTTCACATGCATTGTGCCTCTTGAATTTTTTTTGTGATGCAATAAAAAAAAAACTGTCTCTTCTTGTTATTTTGGTTGCCGACCCCTGCCCACGACCAACAGGCCTCCATCCAGCAGTGTATTGACGAAGGGCTGTACGTACATTGCCAACATCGGTGAACGATAGAGAGCGGGCCAACACACATTTCAGGCCACCAGCCAACCTTTAACCCCTGCTCTGCCTTGCCGACACACGTAGCACAGCGTTGTCGCACGCTGCCGCTCAACGCTCAATTGGTTAGCTCTTGGTGTGTCGCCAGCTCGTTGTTTCTCAGATTTTACGATCTTTGGAAGTTGCACAACTATTGTTGGGGTGAGTGGAGGCGGGAGATTAAAATTCAGACGGTGTCGTTGCCTCAACGGTCTCCGGATGACTTTGTCTGACCTTGTGCTCTCAACTTGGGTCCAAAGACATCCAGTAAACAGATGCCCCAGACTCCCGCCATCGACACCGAGGTGGCTCTAGAAACTTCCCAAGGGAGGTGGTCCCGAAATGTTACGCTTTTTAAATATGGTATCTTCACATTGATAAAAAAACCCCAACAACATATGATCACCCTCCCCCTTGAGACCATGTAAATGTGTATTTTATTGATGTTGACTGAACAACATATATTCTTCAGTCAACATCAATAAAATACACATTTACATGGTCTCAAGGGGGAGGGTGATCACCCCCATCACATCCCCGCCCCCAAAGCCTACCCCCCCCCCCCCTTGGATTTACACTGTGCCGGCGGGCGACATGCTGGTCTCCATCCGGGCTCGGTGAGCCATGCCCTTCATTTTATTTTAATTTTTTTGAGGAGGGGGGGGGAAATAATTAATAAACTTTTATTGACTTCTACAAAGCAGAGTGAGTACCCGGATTGCACCTCGACTACTGTGATGAACATTTGCGATGTGAAAGCCAAAACTGAAAGGAAAAAAACATTTGAATTGAAAGGGGGGGGGCGTTTGTATGGTTATTGGGATCAGCGGCAGGGCTGGTGCTCGTGTCTGGTTTATTAATCGGTTAGGGGGTAAGGGTAGGGCAGGAACTACTTGCTGGTTGGTTAAGGTTAGTGGGAATGGTAGAGCCGGTACAAGTGTCAGCTTGGCTAGGTGGTTGGCGGTTAGCGCTACGGAGGGAAAGTACTTGTGTCTGCCTGGAAAGAAGGTTCGGTGAAAGAGTAGAGCTCCTATTAAGTGTCTGGTTGACTGGTTGCTTAGGTTGAGTACGAGCGATTCCATTGTTTCAACGGTTAGTGTTTAAATTGGGCGAGCGTTCAATCGGCTGCCGTGTGCTCTACCCCCCCCCCCCTCCACACAAATCGTCTGCATCTCTCCTCCTGCGCAACGTACGTTGCGGCCTATACAGTTTATGACGCTTCCCCATCTGGCCTTTTACAACCACCATTCACAGCAGCCGGTAATGGGTAAAAGTTGCTGCTGCAAGGCAGTGCAAAGTACAGAGCGTGTGGCATGCTTGATGCATCTCGGTCGCGCAGATCACGGACTCGGCAATTCACTGGGCTCGTGTCGCCAAAACACCTTGGCACCTTGCCAGAGCCGGGAGCCGAGAGCAATTCCGACTCAAGCAGGGCGAGCCTCCCGGCGTCTCCCGCAGCTTAATAGCGGCGCAGCTCTCCCGTGCGTGTTAGTTTATTTTTGTCCGCGCACGCCACCTCAGCACGATGTCCGATGTTTCGCTCTCGCGTGGTGGGAGCTTAAGAAACCGAAGCTCGATTCAGCTCAATTTCAGTTCCTCGAGGAAGCTGCTGCCGGCACGTGGAACGAAACGTCGGACGTCGTGCCGGTATGACTCGAGAAACGCATAGGAGAACGACATGGCGCGAACAATGCCTTCACAGTGTGCATCATCGACATCGTCGGCATCTGTAATGTCAAGTGTCATCAGCAGACACCGTCCTCTCCGTCACTCTGGTTGAAGCAAAAACTCTTAATTTAATGAAAACTACAAACTAAACAATTTTTAATTTTACCAGGTAAGGCCCCACTGAGCTGTATAGCTATTGTTCAGACGCGACCTGGCTATCACAAATGATAGCTCAACGAAACTTATCATGTGGAAGTTTAGAGCAGCCAAATACTCTTAATGCATGTTGATTCTGAATGTGGAGGGGAAAACCGGAGGACACGCAGAAAAATCCACGTAACCACATGGAGAACATGCAAACTCCAAATGTACAGGCGTCAGGCTCGGGATGAAACCCACGACCTCCTGTATACCAGGCGAGGCAGTTAACATCTCGGCCACCGCAGCAAAAAACCACAAACAGCATGGGGGAGGCGAAAAGACTCAACGGAATCCACGACGAGCCCCACTCTGAAGTCCGGTCCTGCTTTTGAAATCTCCCATCCAAATGAAGGCTTAGAATAATCAGTCATTAAATGAACACATTTATTTATAACCGGTGCACAGGCACCAAGAGATAAAATATCCCCAACAAAGCAGGCATCAATGGATCGAAACCAATTAGGCTTGTAGCCATTCGCTCCTCCAGTGATTCGATGGAGTGCCAAAATTTTAGATCAAGATTTGATTCGAAAACCGGTTATTTGTGAACCGGTCTCGTGTAAATTTGTTTCCGTCTATTTTGTACAGTTTTGTTTACACCATTATCATGAACGTTACATTCATATTATCACCCTCACACATGCTTCACAAATAAAACATAACCTATCCTCGCAACACTCTATGATCAGATGCTTGTATCATGAGCATGAGAATATTTTTTTATCGATAAATCGATGCGTCACTACATACCGAGCACAAGCACGAACAGCACCTGATGTCATGTCAGAGGCAATAGACAACACAACTGTTGGGTAATCGTGACCGATGATGATAATGTGCTGCAGCAGCTACGCAAATGAAAACCTCCAGTTTACGTGTAAATGTAAATGAATGGTAAATGCAAAAACAATCTGGGCTGTGGACTACATTTTGAAAGCCTCAGCCATAAAATGTTCATATGACCTTTAAAGGTTGTTAAATTATAAAACGTTACAGCGATAAGGAAGGCTACATTTTTGTGGGCCGCATGATCAGACGAGATGGCTTGGGGACCAGTCTGCATTACCGGTGAGACTGAGCGTAAGAAAGATACCAAAGGTCAACGGGGGAGACGAGAATGTCTGGCCAAAATACCGTGGTGGTTACAGCGAGTTAGTTTCTGGGTGGGAACTCAAGAGACAAGGATGAGTGTTCCCAGGCCACCAAAATTGATGAAAGCAATAAAAGAAAAAGTACAACCAAGAAGCAAATAGAAATCAGGGCAAAAACAATCACGCTTCAGAAGAAATTAAAAACAGCGCACAAACACGATCAATATTCAATAAAAAAAGTACACTTCCTCGAAGAAAATTTGGCTTGGACATTTTTTTTTTAACAATGACTCATGGTAAAATTAGCGTGTTACGAGAAATACGGTAGGGAGGAAAGAGCGACACCGTGGTACAGCCGGGGGACGCCGCAACGGTGGACGAGCACCAACAACAATGAGCAGCCAGAGGCAGCCAGGAGCAGCCCGGCCAGCCAGGGGCACCCAGGGCACCCAGGGGCAGCCAGGGGCAGCCAGGGGCAGCCAGGGGCAGCCAGGGTCATTGGTCTCAGGTCACTCATGCAGATGAGACTCTCGGGCTCTTGAGTACTTACTCGGTGAAACTAAATAAACTGGAAACTTGGAACTATTTTATCCTTTTGTATGGCAATATGTACTGTAGCTAAATGCCATTCCTCCGTTGAGCAGCACAGCCTACCGTGATTTACTGTACGGCCCCCCATGGTTTGGGTCGCATGGCCACAATCGCAATACTGTGGCTTGTGTCTTCACTTTCCACCAACAACGGAGATGTGCGCATTGGCCAGTTGATGCTCTCCTGTGGTTGATGGTTATACCAGTGTCTTTGAAGGATATCAAAGCCAGGAGTATGTGATGTGTGGGTCTCCAATGAGGTGTTTATTCTGGATGTCAAACTTGAACTTAAACTATTCCATTTATTAAAAAAAAACCTCTTCTACCAGGTAAAGCCAACTGACCTATATAGCTCTTTTTCACAGGTGACCTGGCCACAAATGATAGCTCAACGAAGTGGCTTATCACGTGGAAATGTATCACAACCAAATACTCTCAACACGTGTTTCTAAATGTGGAGGGAAAAACCTGAGGACCCGGGGAACAATCCACACGACCACGGGGAGAGAGAGAAAACACACAAACTCCAAATATACAGCAGGCATCAGAGTCGGGATCCAACTGACGGCCTCCTGCATACCAGGAAATGCAGATAACATCTCACCACTGCGGGTGCCCTAAGGAAGCACCAACAATTCCTAGAGACAACAGCCAAGGCCACAACGAATCATATGGGCGAGTGCACAGTTGGGGGGTGGGGGGGGGCTTGGGGGGGGGCTCGGGGGGGGCTCGGTGGGAGGGGTCAGGGGGTCACACTCACTGGTGATGATGCCGCCGGTGATGGGAGCCAGCACGCCCATGACGGCGATGGCCACCGAGAAGAACCGCGCCTTGCGGTGGCGCCGTAGTGACACAAAGGCGAGGAGCGCCGTGGAACCGTGGACGAAGATGGAGGAGAAGAGGGCCCACAGGAAGACCCAGTACCACATCTCTGTGGGCAAGGGCGAGAGGGAGATCGTCACAGCAGGTGGGGTCAAGGAATGTATATACCAGACAATTGCAATGTGGATTTGCACAGGGGTTTAAATGCGACCAAATCCCAAAATGCTGCACAGAAACCGTGAGCCTTAATACTCACAAAGCAACCCTGTGAATTGTACGAGTCTCTATGGGAGTCCAATGTGGAATCATACGTAGGATCTAAATACAACTGCAACTCCATATAATGTACGGAAGCAGTGTTTACATTTATTTTTTAGAGTAGCTATTACGGCTTTGGAAGACGGCTTGGGAAGACCTTATTCCATTTGATTGGTGATGTATGTATTCTTGTTAAACTTCTTTCCCACCACATGTAGCCAACCGTGCTAATCGGAGGTGATGCTGATAAGGAGGCAGTAATAAGGGCCTACAGCTTAAACAGGGGCAGATAATCTCTCCATCTCTGTGGGAGTCTACTGGTCTCCGTTTGAGTCTATGGGTTTATTTGCAGTCTATGGGTCTCTCTGTGTGTCTATGGGTCTCTCTGTGTGTCTATGGGTCTCTCTGTGCGAGTCTATGGGTCTCTCTGTGCAAGTCTCTTGCTCTCTGTGTTAGTCTATGGGTGTCTGTGTGAGTCTATAGAGCCTTGACGCTATGAGCCTATGTGTGAGTTTCTAGGTCACTGTGCAAGTCCCTGATCTCACAGAGTCTATACAATGAACGTGAATTTATATAGCAGCTAAAGGCGACTGCATCACAGGGCAAGGATATATATAGGCACACTGGGCATATGTAATTTAGAGAGAGACAGAGGTAATCAGTCATGGACAGAGGAGAAGAGGAAGGTCTTGACTCGGGGCTTAAATAAACAGAATCAGAATCTGTATTTATCCTTGAAAAAAATATCCGGTGTCCAGTGAACAGATTTACGTAGATACCCGCAGACTTATAGAATGTTAAACTCTACTGTTCATGCGTATAGAGAGAAAACCTTATACAAAACAATGTGGATGTATATTCTTGGTTCTTTCGGTAAAGTCACGTAGAAGGGAAACAATAAAATAATAAAAATATAAAACAATATTAGTATTCTTGGTTCTTTCGGTAAAGTCATGTAGAAGGGAAACAATAAAATAATAAAAATATGAAATTATTATTTAATTGTTTCCCTTCTATGTGACTTTACCGAAAGAACCAAGAATATGAATCCCTGCAGTCACGAAAGCTTTACATCAAAATTGAATGTGGATGTATGTCAAGTAATAATGCAACTCAAGACCTGTGCTGAAAAAATTAGTGGGAATATGAATTGTATAGAAAGAGGAAGTCAGTCACAGGTCTCTCTATGTGAGCCTGTGGGTCTGTGTGAGTCAACCAGTACAAACGACACCCCCTTGCACACAAACATCACAACGACACATCACCCTAACGGCGTTACACACACACACCAAGCACCACATTGGTACAACTCACGCCACTCGACATCTGACCCCTGCACACCAAACATCCGTGGCACAATATTCAGATGCCACACACACACCTCTCACTGACATAACACACAGATACCCCCGTGAAGCCTTTAACAGACTGCCTGGGCAAGTGCTGTAAGAGAACACTTATGAAGGCCGGAATGGCACATGAGGGGGTGGAGTGGCTAATACCACACACGGCCACCTTTGTCTCCTCAGTACTGAGTCCACATGGCTGAGTCCACCCAGGGGAGGCCGGTTCTTATATATCACTCGCCACTGATGTTAGCTGTGGTCACACGACCAGACAACCAAATTGACACATCATATATACGCCAGATCACTGTAGAGGCACTGTACAATGCACAGGGTGCCACACAAATGCACACATCAAAAAATAAACTATCACATTTTCGATTAGCACAGTTGACTACGTGCGGTGCAAAAGAAGTTCAACATACATAAACCGCTCCCCAATGGCACATCACACCTCCTACGCACATCACAACGACATAGCGCACACACACACACACACCCCAGGCAGTATAGTCATGCCACACACACACACCGCACATTATAATGAACGTCCCAGCAGTACCTGGAGAAAGCTCACCATACATAGGTAGGGGAAGATAACGCTTCAGTATTTAGATAATTTGGCTGCTATAAATGTCCACATGATCAGTCATTTTTGTTGCGTTATCAGTTGTGGCAGGTCGCTCGAGTAAAATAAGCGAAGAGTTCACTGGGCTCTACCTGGTAAGACAAACAAAAATAGTTGAGTTTTATTTGCATATTTTTTAAGCGATTTGTTTACCTATTCTATACTTTACACTCCGATCGTATTTTTTTTACTGTTTGTTATCACGTTCTGACCCGCCCCTAATGGTACATCTGTGGAAAAAAAATAACTTTATAACTCATCGGATTCCTCCAGCGTAAATGCATATTCGTTTTGCGCGAATCCACGGGACGGGCCTAACGAATCCACTTTCTGCATGTGCCAACTCCAGAACGACTGAACTCCGCACCAGAAAACCAAACAAATCCGCACGCAATCCACCAACCCTCTGACCCACAGGCGCATGGACCCCAACCACGCCAGACAGATCACCTCCGTGACCCCCTCAATCAACCAGTGGACACAGTGACACACAGTGATACACAGTGACACACAGTGATACACAGTGACACACAGTGACACCCAGTGACACACAGTGACACACAGTGACACACAGTGACACCCAGTGATACACAGTGACACACAGTGATACACAAGTGACACACAGTGACACCCAGTGATACACAGTGACACACAGTGAGACAGTGACACACAGTGATACACAGTGACACACAGTGACACAGTGACACACAGTGACACACAGTGACACAGTGACACACAGTGACACACAGTGATAGTGATACACAGTGACACACAGTGATAGTGATACACAGTGATACACAGTGACACACAGTGATACACAGTGACACACAGTGATACACAGTGACACAGTGACACACAGTGACACAGTGATACACAGTGACACCCAGTGACACAGTGACACACAGTGACACACAGTGAGACCCCCCCCATAACCTGACGTGAAGGCCATCAAGACACCAGGGTTTGGACACTCTAGGTAGAAGGGGGGGGGGGGGGTCAAGGAAGTTGAGTTATGTTCCAGTACTGTGCGAGCGAGTTAGTTTGGGCGGTCAGACAAATAAATGATGGAAGGCATCTAAAGCGATCATTCAGCGTGGAGATGGAGCGATGGAATTGTCTCTAGCGCCAATTTGCATAGGAAACCCGCAGACTTAACACACGCGGCCAGCAGACTTACAACAGGGCCCCATAGCCCTTCACATCACCACGGTCATTGTGGGGTGGGATTCATCCAGCAGTGGATTGGTCGCGCCCGACGATGCTGCTGCTGATGATGATGAAGGGGTTAGAAGGGGTAAAGTAGTTGTACGAGGAGGGTTGAGACAGGAGGGTTTGGGGATCGAACCCATACCGGTGAAGGCGACGAGCGGATTGTGGGCGAGCAGTGACAGCACCTCCCGCACGCTCTCGGGAGACGAAGACGCTCCCCCCATGGCCGCGGCCACGCGGGGACCAGCGGGTACCCCGAAGGCCCGCGACCCCAGCAGCCCGCTCCCTCGCCCGGCCCCTGGCGCCAAGGGGCCTCCGTCAGCCGGCCCGCGCTCTCATGCCGGGACCTCGGGGCTCGCCTGCCCGCCCGACCGCCCGCCCCCGTCTGCGCGTACAGTCACTCGGAACCCGCTCACACGCAGCGGCGGAGGCAGTAGGGGTTGGGGGGTGGGGGGGGGCAACCCGTTCCGCCTGTATCACTTCCCGCCCCCCCCGTTTGCAATCCTCTCCTTGACCCGTCTCGGCCCGGTTCGGTCCCCGGTCCAGGTGCCGCCGCCCTGGTAAAGAAGCAGCTGCCGTGCCCCCCCCTCCCTCCCCGCCACGCCCCGCCCCCCGCCACGCCCCGCCCCCCCCGCCCCTCACGGAGACGCCCCGCAGCCCTCCCCACGCCCCTCCTGGAGACGCCCCGCCCCGCTCCCCTCCCGGAGACGCCCCGCCCCTTAGGGACGCTCCGCCCCCTCTCCCAGAGACGCCCCGCCCCCTCTCCCAGAGACGCCCCGCCCCCTCTCAAACGCAACCTCCGTTCGTCACCAACCCACTGTGTATGTGTGACCCCTGTGTCCTTAAAAGGACATTGTTTTATAATATAAAATAGGCGACGTTTCGCACATTGACCCTTCGTGATAGGATATATATATACAGATGGAGTTGATAAGCGTTGAAGTGCTGCTTAACCGAAATTGGGAATATTTTTCAGATCCCAAAAAAATAGTTGTTAATTTTAACCTTCATTTTTCTGAAGCTGGTAATCTTTTTGATAATGTATTGGGAGTCACCCCTGCTCATGCAAATCCCTACACCCCTGTCCAAACATTAAACGAATTTAGTTTCCAGCCAATCCACGAAAGTAATGTCCTGAAACAACTGTTTTACCTCAAAGGGTCCTCCTCTACCGGAGCAGATAGTTTTCCCGTCATTGCTCTACTAACTGTTGGTCACCTAATATACAAACCTAAAGCCCATATTTTCAACCTGTCCATTAAAGAAGCATCAGTTCCTCTAGAATGGAAATATTCCTATGTCCGTCCACTTCACAAAGGGGGCCCTAAAGATTATCCAAATAATTACCGACCTATCTCAATTTTGTCCCCGTTGATGAAAATTTTTGAAAAATTATTAACCTACCAAATTAGCAGTTTCCTGTCCACCAACAATCTACTACATCTAAAACAATCTGGGTTCCGAAAAAAATACAGCACCACATCTGCTGCATTAGACTCTCTGAATCACATTTACAGTAGCCTTGATAATAAGCAGTACTGTGTCTGTCTTTTTCTAGACCTGTCCAAAGCTTTTGATAGAGTAGACAGAAGACCACAACACCCTGCTTAGTAAACTAAGTTGCCTCGGTTTTTCCGAAAACGCAGTAAAATGGTTACAAAATTACCTCTTTTCTCACAACCAAACTGTATTCACAGATGGTTGGAGGTCAAACAGTGTTAAGATAACAAAAGGGGTTCCACAGGGTTCCATCCTCGGCCCCCTTTTGGTCCCCACCCGCTCCTCTGCTCCCCCCCCCCCCCCCCCGCTGCTGGTCCGTCATGGTCCCCACCCGCTCCTGGTCCATCATGGCCCATGTACCTCCTACGTACATCATGCTCATTTTTATGCTAATTCCTTTGTCAAAGTGTTTTGCTTCCTCCCACACAGCTCAAAGGATGCGACCTGGGCTTGGCTGTTTTCACTCCAACGCTGTCCTCATGACAGCACGGTCCCTTCACCTGATGAAGGCCACTTGTGTTGTGGCCGAAACGTCGTGATTTTGGTTATTTTATTTTTTACCTACGTGACTTTACCGAATAGAACCAAAGAGTACAGCCCCAAGTACTGTACTGAAGATGCTTGATTCCATCTACTGTATCACTCGGCCTTAAGATTTACATTGAACTGCCCATATAGGACTCACCACTGTGATCTCTACATTGGGTCCAACTTAACATCTCTTAATGTTCGACGGCTTGTGCACCAGATCTTATTTATTCACGATGTACTTACAAAAAAATCCGCAGACTACCTGCTGGATCTCCTCTCTGTTTCAAAGAACAAATTTGACCTCAGGTCTTCGCTCATTTACCAGCTTCACATTCCATATTGCCGTACAAAAACTGGAGGAAGGGCCTTTGCTATTGATGCCCCCAGGGTCTGGAATGCTATTGCCAATAAACTGCAACTTGAATCGCTACCAATGAGATCTTCTCTCAAAACTGCTCTAGAGGAGTTGATCATGCAATTTAAACTTATTTGCGTTATTGATGTATTTAAGGGGTGTCACGGTGGTGAGATGTTATACTCCTCGCCTGGTATGCAGGAGGTCGGGGGTTCGATCTCGTGGCCGAGTGGATTTTTTCTCCATATTTAGAAACATGCGTTTAGACTATTTAGATAATTTTGCTGGTATAAATGTCCACATGATAAACTACTTTGTTGAGCTATCATTTATGGCCAGGTCGCTTTTGGCCAATGGGTTAATGCCTCAGTGGGCTTTGCCAGATAGGATGGAGATGGTTTAGTTGTATGTGTATGTGTTTGGGTGATTTGTTTACTTTTCTACTTTTGCAGCACATGAAGAACCAGTGGCATCTACATCTGCAGAACCTGAAGAACCAGTGGCATCTACATCTGCAGAACGTGAAGAACCAGTGGCATCTACATCCGCAGAACGTGAAGAACCAGTTGCATCTTCATCTGCAGAACACGAAGAACCAGTGGCATCTACATCTACAGGAGATTATACAACTTTTAAAGCCATTCCCCGTGTTTAGTGTACATGTTGTACAACATGTTTGGAATCGACAGGTTTAAAGTTGGACTTGCGAACATTTCGACTTACGAATAGACCTCTGGAACCGAACTCGTTCGTAAGTAGAGGAGTGCCTGTACACACCGATACTGAACCCGCCCCTTTCAACATACGTCACGCCCCATGTATTGTTAGACCCGCCCCTCTTACATTGAGCCACGCCCCCTCCGCCTTCTAACTCCGCCCTTCTTTGGTTCTTTCGGTAAAGTCACGTAGAATGAGAATAAAATAATAAAAATAATAAAATCGAAATTTAATTCCGCCCTCTTACAGCTTAGGCCCCTCCCCCATCCCCCGCGCACTCCACGCCAGCCAATCGCAAATTCGCCTCGGCGCGGTTGACCAATCAGAGGCGTGTCCCTCGAGATCGCGTGCCACCTCCCCCCGAATGTGCCGGCTGTCGAGGCATTCGCGGCGAGCGGATTCGTAGAGGTTACTACAGGACTTTGTCACACTCTAACCAAGGTGTGAAAATAGAAATAAAAATTGTAATCGTTGCAAACGAGTGGAAACCCCTGTCGCGAAACGACGTTGTACGAAACACGGCGAGGCAACGCGACCTGGTGTATTTATTTTATTCGTGTCACGCGCGGCGTGTTGAAACGGATTTGTGTGTGTGTGCGAATGCTTTGGCAGGGGAAACGCGCGCCGTGTTCGCGTAAGGGCTAAAGGGGGCCTAACACGGGAGGCTTCGTCTAGACGCGAATCGGCGCGGAAAGCAACGCTGGAAGGATAAACAATAGGGTTTAACAATAAGATTAAACAATAGGATACAACAGTAGGGTTAAACAATAGGAGCAGAGGTAGAGGCGCACCCAGAGAGAGAGGGTGAGCTGAGGTCGACCCAGTAGCGGCAGGAGGAGCAGCGATAACAGAACGCAAGAGGCGAAAGAGCAGCAGCAAGGAGGGTGAGAGAGGCAGAGGGAGCAGCAGCAAGAAAGGTGAGAGAGGCAGAGGGAGCAGCAGCAGCAGCCGCAAGAGGATGTCCGACTCGGAGGACCTGAGCTCGGAGAATGATTCTGACTACGTGCCCTCGGGTGAGACTCCCACTGGTGGTGGTGGTGGGCTTGGTAGGGCTGTGTAAGGGGGTTTTGGGATAGCAATGGGTTATGGATATCAGCGGGGTAAGGCAATGTATTGGATGGTGGGGGGCTACAGGCTCGGGCTAGAGAAGGGATTACAATTGAATCTAACGGGAGTTGGAGTGAGCGGTGTGTGGATGTACTGTACATCGCGATCATCATCGGCCACGTTCTATCCACAGAACGCGGCCTGCCCAATGCCGCATTTCAAGTCGAGATGATGTCTGGAACTTGCGTTTGTTCTGCAATCCACGGGATCCTCTCTGTTCGGCCTCGATGTGACAGGCAGACCTGGCTCGGCGCGACCATGTAGATTGTAGAAGAACGCCGATTCCTGATCGCGATCATTGTCCTGGAGAACAAACCATTTTTTGGAGTCACGTAGAAGGGAAACAATAAAATAATAAAAATATAAAACAATAACATTCTCACGACGTTTCGACTGCAACACACGCAATCATCATTAGATGATCAGATGATGATTGCTTGTGTTGCAGTCGAAACGTCGTGAGAATTTTATAGTTTAATATTTTTATTGTTTTATTGTTTCCCTTCTACGTGACTTTACCGAAAGAACCAAGAATATGAATCCCAGCAGTCACGAAAGTTTTAAATAAAAAAATTTCGGAGGTTTTATATCAACAACATTGAAAAGAATCCGAAACGTCGCCGACAATAACACGTAGCGCCGACTTTATTTCCATTCGCACCGGCATGATCTTCTTCCCCATGCTTGTCTGAGCGCGTTTTAGATGCCTGGCTTGTCGGTCGTATTCGTCAAAACCGTAATATTCCGAGTCGGGTAAAACGCGCTGATTGGACAGCTCTTAAGGAGTCGCCTGGCTATGTTGATTTTTCATCAAATGTAATTATGCAAAAGCACTGCATCCCGCTGCTCGCTGCATACGGTACACCATCAATAATTGATGTAGATACGCACACTGTTGTGTTATTATCCGGGTTTTCCTACCCAAATAATTTCCTTTTGATCAGCGAATGTGTTGTGCCGTATACGAATTGTTTCGCCATCCTAAGTTAAGTAGATGATAACACATTAGTCCTGGTTTTAAGTGGGGTAAATACAATTAGTTTTCCATCCGGCGGAAGTTAAAAACGTTATCTCGTATAAGCAACACTTATTTGCACCAAGAGATTTTGTAAATCCATTGTGCGTGGACCGTGCGTGTCAGTGGCCGATTGAGTCTCGCGTCCATCACCAACTCGCTCTGTCGTCACAGCCGAGGAGTCGAGCGATGACGAGGGGGATCAGGCCGGGCATGACGAGGTGGAGGAGGATGGAGACGACGAGGTGGCGGCGGCAGCGATGAAGAAGAAGGCTCCGTCGTTGAAAAAGCGGCGGGCGGCATCCACCAAGGGATTGCTGGGAGCCAGGTACACGGAGCTTCATTTCTCTCTGAATTATTTTTTTTACCACTAGGTAAAGCCCTAATTGGGACCTTTTTAAGCCCTAAATGGGACATTTTTTGCCAGGTTTTACCCTTTCTGGCAATAAAACAAGTGTTAAGATGCCAAAGGGTAAAAGTTATTCTTATTTTTTCATACTTTGATACTGGCAAAAAAGGTCCCATTTTGTAGCTGCTCACCCCGAGCTATAAATGATCTGACACTTGCATTGTCTTTGTGCTGTTCGCCTTTTGGCGTTCTCTGGTCTGACACTGGTGAGACTAGGCCCTAAAGAAGGCTGTCTCTGGTGTAGGCCAATCAAGTTCCAAAGACAATGCAGATATTATCAGAGCACGTTTATTTGCATGTTTTGCCACAAGTACCATGTGTGATTAATGCAGACTTGATGCTTTGCAAAAGGTTTCTATTTGGCGTTTGAACATCTTGACACCTGTTTTATTTCCAGAAAGGGTAAAACCTATTCTTATTTTCTCATACAGGTAAAGCCCTTTTTCAGAAGCGACCTGGCTATCACAAATGACAGCTCAACGAAGTGGCTTATGTGGAATTTTAAACGCGTGATGTTAATTCTAAATGTGGAGTGGAAAAACCGGAGGACCCGGAGAAAAATCCCCGCGACATGAAAACTCTAAATATACAGCAGGCGTCAGGGTCGGGATCGAACCCACAACCTCCTGTATACCAGGCAAGATAGTTAACATCTCGCCATCATGGCGCTCCATATATATAGTCCGGGTGTCTAGTAGACTGGAGAAGGCACTTGGCCAGTACCCACAGCCCAATGCGATGCCATTCAGCTGATTTGGGTCTTCTTCTTCTTCCACGTGTTTGTCCCACTCATGGGGGGTCCGCTGTCCTTACCAACCTTCTCCACGCTGCTTTGTCCTGCGCCCATCTCTCTTTCCGCTCCTCGGGCCACCATGTCCGATAGCACCACATCGCCTCACCTCTTCTTCTGCCTTCCTCTTGATCTCTTTGCTTCCACTTGCATTACTTGCACCTTCTGACCCACATAATTTTCCTGTCGTCTCTTCACTGATTTGGGTATTCACATTTATGCTGCTGTGTGGACAAAGGCAGGAGGGGGCAACACAAATGTGATGCAAAGTAATGACCCGTTGAGGGCCTATTTAAACATGAAACATGAAAAGACAATGACAGTGGTAAACACAACTAAAATATAATCGCGTTCATCATTAACACTGCCTTTAAAGAGTAATGCGCAGTAGCCTACTGTTTCAGGTAGTGGCAGTCATGACCTGTGCCCCTAGACGAAGCCTTCATGTGTCCCCTTGGCTAGTCAACAGGGATCACCAAGGTTACTTGCCAAATTCAAAGTCATGTGCACATGACTGGTCAAAGTAAAACTAAAGACACGTCACAGTTACATCGGGTGCCGCAGTGCAATTAACACGTTTGTGTACTTTTCGTTTTGCTAAACGATGTCACCAGGAAGAGAACACGAATTGGAGGCATCCGGCTGTCGGGGGATGAGGCTGAAGAGGAGTCTGGGGGTCAGGGGTCGCCTGGGCAGGAAGACGCTGAGGGCGCCGCGGTCGCCACGGAGACACCGGCCGATTCCGGCAAATCTAAGAGCCGCGCCGACGACCTCTGGGCCAGTTTCCTTAGCGACGTGGGCCAGAAGCCAAAGGCCAAGGAGGACGGCCAAGCGGAGGTCAACAAGACTCCCAGTCAAGTAAGGCTCACGTGTTTCCAACAGTTGAGATTTTCACAGGAAACACAATCGTACTCTAAACTAAAGCTATATATATAAAAAAAAAATGACCAGGTAAGGCCTATTGAGCTGTATAGCTCATTTTCAGAAGCAACATGACCACAAATAGTAGCTCAACAAAGTGGTCAAACCAGCGACCTCCTGTTATAGTTAGCATCCCGCCACTGTGGAGTGTGCAGGTCGTATGTGAAACTGCATAGATGCAGTTTTATTCTTACTGCGGAGATTTTTCGTGGTTGCGCTGTGTAGCTCTCGGATATGTGTTCTGGTTGTACCGCGGGTTATTTGACACGCTGTCCGACGTTCTCTCCACGTTCTGTGGAGAGCTGAATTCACCTGAAGAAGCGTCCGGCACACGAAGCGAAACGTCAGACATGGTGCTAAACAACATGCGGTACAAACAGTAAAGACATCAGAACGATAAGCTCCACGTTATGTCAACGGCTTGTGTTTTCACAGATAATATTTCATAGTCAATTTATAGATAAGCTTTTAATGTGTTTATACGGTGCGCTGATGCAGTGCGGATCGTTCGTTAAGTGCAGAGAAGAGCAGTGGAGTGGCCGTGTCTCCATGCAGACACCACAACCTGGCACTGCGTGTTGGTTTTTGGTGTCGCGAGACGGGTTTAGCGATGTCCCCCGGTTGTCCGCTCGTCGACTGTCGGCAGAGCTCGACGGCGGTGAAGACGGAGGCGCGGAAGGAGACGGAGAGGCCCAGGGAAGGAGCCAAGGTCTCCATCACCAAGGTGTTTGACTTTGCAGGGGAGGAGGTCAGGTGGGTGGTCCGTTGGTCTATTCGAGTTGAAACTTCTTGTGTCGCAACGCAAACTGCGCTCAGAGTTAGGGTTGTTCATTTCTCGTTTTGCATTATTGAGCATTGCGTGCAACAATAACTGTAAACGATCGATAATAATCGGTATCCGCACACACGTGTCGAAGAATATCTCTCTCGCGGTTGCACACCGTGGCCACTTGATGGTGAACGTCTTGAGATATTTAATCGGAGAGACGCGAAGCGTGGAAGAGTGTCTGCTGAAGGACGATGGGGTGCCTGTGCGGTGGCGCAGGGTCACGAAGGAGGTGGATGCCGAGTCGAAGGAAGCACGCTCCTATCTCAAGTCTCTGGAGGCGGAAAAGGAGGAGGGGAAGGAGGAGGATGAGAAGGGAGGTTCTGGGTCTGGCACCGCCTCCACTGCTCCCTCACTTGCGTACGTGTGATCCCTAACCCCTAACCTCTGTATATATGTATTTATGTTGAACTTCTTTCGCACAGTACGTAGCCAACCGTGCTAATCGGAGGTGCGGGGGAAAGACAACAAACCAAACACAAAAAGCAATTCTGAAGAAATGAGTTTTCAATCTAGGTGATTTAAAAGTGCATAGCTCCAGTGGCTTCCTAATATCGGAGGGAAGAGCTTTTCAGACGGCCGCAGAAGCGCATCTGAAAGCGCGCAATGCCGGTGACCGTCTGCGAAGTGGGCAAGTGGCTTGTTTTTGTTTTTTACTAAACAATCTGAATATAAAATCCCTGTGCTCCCCGCCCCTGGCTGTCCGCCGGTCCCCAGATCGAAGCGGCCGGGCGGCGCGGCCGGCCTCAGCGCCGTGCTCGGCCAGATCGGCGGCAAGAAGACGAAGATGAGCACCCTGGAGAAGTCCAAGATGGACTGGGACCAGTTCAAGGAGGTGGAGGGCATCAGCGACGAGCTCGCCACACACAACCGCGGCAAGGCCGGGTGGGTGCCCGCAATCGCTCGAACCCCCAATACAAGCAACCGCAAAATAACGCGAGACCGCAATCGCATGCAACTGCAATCGCAAGCAACCACAACCACTCGCAACCCCAGCCACAGTACATGCAGCCGCAACCACACGCAACCACGCCCATACACACGCAACTTACGTGCGCCCCACGCACCTCCTCGCTCGACGATCAGCTGTACGATCCTCTTGTTACTTGGTGAGGGCCAAAAAAAAAAAAAGCCTTTTGGGATGGTTCATTTGGTGACACCGCGTCGGCGGTGGTTTGCATAAGCACCAACGCCGGCCCTGGGCAACGGCTGTTCATCAAATCACGCACACGATGCTGCTCTACCGAACTACTGTTGCCCGAAACGTCACGCAGTAACGCACTTGAGCACTCGCGCCTTAGCATTATCCAATGGCGACGCGACAAACAACTAGGGCTTGCTGTTTTTAAACCATCGGCAATGCGGTGTTGCCAGGTCCAAACACATTCTGTCGAGTGTTCGATCGATAAGTGGCCTAAGAACGCTTGCAGTTATTGAGGAATATAATTCGCAGGCTGTTAGGATGCCGTAAAGCGGTGTTCTTCACTAATTTTCAGAGGGGGGGTGGGAGGGTGGCACTTTTGCCGATAAGACACCATCAGTGTGAGGGCTTCCACACATTTTGAAACCATTGTTGGGTTTGTCAGCATGATGGGGGTGTTTTCACATGAGTGGTATTGTCAGGGGCTGCACTAAAGGCCACCAGAAGGCTGCCAGTTGGCCCGTGGGGCCTTGCAATGAAGAACACTGCCGTTAAGCCTCACGTGGCTTCGGACCGTTGTGAAATAAATTCGTGGGCCGTATCCTGCCCACGGGCCACAGGTTCCCTATCCATGACCGAGAGACTACCTACATGCTCCTGCCTGCGTCGCCTGCCCACTCCACCTGACTCGATGTATGGACGAAACAGCATGCTTCACATACAGACTGCACGCTCCACACAGAAATGGCGTGTATGCTGCCTGTAGGTGGGGACTATATGCTTCAGCTACACCCATACCTACAGGCAACCTGCCTGCTTTGCCCGCACGCGCCTGCTACAGGCGGAAAGCAGGTTTCACATACGGCCTGCACGCTCCACAAGTACCTACGCATGGATCACATCCTGCACACAGACACTGCACTCCACACATACTTCACTTGAGTATATATGTATGTTTAACTTCTTTCGCTCCATACGCAGTCGACCGTGCTAATCGGAGATGCGAAACTTTACACATGGGCTGCGTGATACAAGCACATACGCCACCAAACTACGCTCCACACACACCGCACATTCCACACGCACCACATGTACACGCAATCCAACAGATGGCCTGCACAAACCACACACCTGCTGACTGTCACCCTGTGTGCTCCACCTGCGAGTGAGTGAGCGAGCAAGCGCGGGATTCTTTGCACTGCCTCGCGCGTGTGGTGGCGCAGCGCGCATACGCGGTCGCTGGGCAGGAGGGACTGTGGTGGGGGGGATGGGGAGAAATCCGCGTGTGCGGTGTGGTGTGCGGTGTGGTTGGCGGGAGGAGGGGGGTTTGTTTTGGTGAGCGGAGAACGTGAACTCGAGACGCGCGACGAGGGAGAGTCGCGGAGAAAAAAAAAATAGGGAAGAAATACCTCTCCGATTAATCGCCCTTTGTTTGATAATCAGCTGAGCGGGAGCACGTGTTCTCATTAAGCTGTTGCGCGGGCCCTAATTGCGAGAGTTCCCAGGCTTGCCCGCCTGGTTCGTGTGTGGGCAGCGCTGGCAAGCGGCTCGCGGTGCCGGAGCCGGGGGGGCGGGGTGCGGGGGGGACAAGTCTCGCGGACGCCCAGCTCATCGAAATGGGCACGGGGCTGCCCTTGGGGACAGGGAGTGCCCGCGTACGTGTGTGGGTGCGTGCATGTGTGCATTTGTGTAGTGCTGGTGGCCGCACGCTGAGGTTGAGGTTGAGGGGGAGTTGCGTAGTCGCGTCCACGTGTAGGGCCCACTTTTAGCCAAGTTTTTATATCATGGGACCTTCTTTGCCAGTACCAAAATATGAGAATAGGTTTTCCCCTGCATTAACCACAATACTTGTGGTCAGAATGCAAACAAAAAACATACTCTGATAATATATGCATTCTCCCTCAAACTGATTGGTCCACACCAGAGACAGCTGTCTTTCGAGCCTAGTCTCAAACGGTGTTAGACCAGAGGACCTCAAAAAGCCTCTGGTCTAACAAGGGGAAAACCTATTCTCACACGTTTTTATAACTCGCTAAAAACTAACAACGCTCATTCGGAGAGAGTACGACCAATGCGGACTTGGGAGCGGATGAGGTGGCTTGTGCGGGATAGCGGTGACGTGGGGAGGCTTTCATCCAGCAGTGGACAGATGATGGTCACGGCGATGACACGAGCTAGTTGTATTGGGTCAGCCGATGCGACGTGCTGAATCTTTCACTTTTCCTGCCAAGACAACTTCAGGTGCCCGGCCCCCGATATTTGGAACGGGGTTTAAAAGTTTTGTTTTAGTTGTAACGTCAGCGGTCTCGCCAGGCGCGTTTGGCGCTGCTGCTGCTGCTGTGGACGTGCACCATCTGGCCGACGCGTCCCGCGCGCCGGTGGGGCGGCGGGGGAGGGACTGGGGGGAGGGACTGGGGGGCTGCTCGTGAAACCGCTCCGTCGGATTCCGATCCTCTCGACAGAAACGCGCTCTTTGTGCCGAACGCGATAAAAGCGCGCGGCCCGGCCTTGGCACGGCTGACGACGGTCGGCCGCCTTCAATTTCCCCCAAACGGATCCCAGCTGCTGTCGTGGCAGCAGCAGCAGCAGCAGCAGCGTTGGACAGATTTTCACGGAAGCCTTTTTTTGCCTTCGCCGAACGCCACCTCCACGTTGCGGACGAAGTTGAAACGTTTCGGGCTGAATTTAAACGGTGCGAGCAGCTGCCCACTTGCGTAGTTTTTCGCGGTAGTGCTGTGCGGCTCCCGCACGTGTTTTCGGATATTTATCACGCATTGATCGGCACAATGCCTGACGTTCCCCACCCTCCCCCCCCCCCCTTCTTCCCACGTGCTGGGAGCTTCTTCTGGGACTGAATTCAGCTCTTGAAGAAGCTGAACATCCTCGTGGATTAGACCATCGGCACATGCAAACGCTTGTCCTGGGTATGGCGTTACATTGTATCAGCCGGTGGCTGTAACAAAAATCCCCCAGGATGGAGTGCGGTGATGCGAGGTGAAGAGGTGGGGAGTGGGGATGGAGGGAGCTCAAGCCAGGGAACCCCAACCTTCCCACCCCTCCTCCCACGAGAAGAAGATGTGGAATCGGATGTAAATTGTGATGTTTCCCTGTGTTACTGGACATCTGTGAAAAAATGGTATTATAGCTCATCGGATTCCTCCAGTATAAATAAAGATTCAGATTTTTGATGTTAGAGAATGGCCCACAAAAGCGGATATCACAGAACCTCTTCCGAGATCCATTTAAGCGACCTCTTAACCCTACACTAGGGGGCAGAACTCTCCCATTAACCCTATTGTTGTATGTCAATCAAACCAAAATCTTGTTTTTTTTAAAGTTCTCAGCTGTAATTTTTCTTAATTTAAGCGGCAAAAAAGTCTATGTTTTAAAAATGTTTTGTTTAATGAGTTATAGGTGACCAGGATGAAACCATAAACTCACGGACACTTGACGGCCCGCTTTTCTCACAGCAGGCCGAAATCCAGATTTGAACCCTGACCTTTGACAGTGCCGACTCGGCGCTCCGTCCCCCCCCCTACACCGTGTCTTTCCCCCCCCCACCTCCACGCGCAGGTACATCGAGCGTCAGGCCTTCTTGGACCGAGTTGACCACCGCACGTTCGAGATCGAGAAGAGCATCCGCCTGACCAAGAGCAAGCGGTAGCGGGCAGCCGCCTCCTGTCATCGGCGGCTCGGCGGGGCGGGGCAGTGGCACCGCCATCGCCGCCGCCGCCACCACCACCGGCAACGCGGAGCCCTCGCTCGGACGCACGGTGCCACGACGCAAGCCTGGAAACAGCTGCTGGACGCATTTAGAGGCTTGAGCGTGCGGCCCGCTGCGCCGGTGGTGGTGGTGGTGGGGGGGGGAGGAGGGTGGGGGGGGTTGAGATGGCAGCTTTTGTTTCAGGCCGTGCGCTCATTGCCGTAGCTTTACGCTGAGTGGGCCGTGACCCCCTGGGGTGTGTGGTGGGGGGCGGGAGGGCGGGGGGGCGGGGAACGTTGCAGGCCTCCAGCCAACGCCTGCCCACCCGCCCAGCTCCCAGTGTTTGCAGTTTCGCCGGCAAGGATGTTCGCCCGTTTAAGTTTGGACATCTGCGTTCTTAATGTTGGGTTTCAGAAAGTAAAAAAAGTAAAAACGCCAGCGCAGGGGGCGTTTTGAGTAAAGCAGTCCCGGCGTCGTGCAGCCGCTCCGCTACTTGGAAGCGGCAGCACCAGGCCGCGACAGCGGCGAGTAAACAGACACACGGCGCTCTTGCCGGACCCCCTTTAACATCGCGGGAACGTGTTTGGAGTAAATTGGCGCGTTTTTTTTTGGTCGCTGTTTACGCGACTGCGGGGCCTTCCTGGGGGCTCCCCCTGCCACGGACGGCCACTGCTGCGCACGTTCGTCGCGACATTTTTCCGTAATTCTTTTAATCGCTCGTTTTGGACGATTGGAGAGCGGTGGCGGCGTTCGCCGTTTAACGGAGCGTGGGCCGCGGCGGAAACGATCGCCGACGCTGGCCCGGGGGGGGGGGGGGGGGAAGGTATGCCGCCCCCTGCCTGCCCTCCCCCCCTCCCGGGGTTAAAGGTCGCATCTCTGCGCTCTCGGAGGGCAGCTGTGGTGCTGCTGCATGTCGGGGTTGGTGGTGGCACGCTGGGGCTGGCGTCTGGCTGTGCGTCGGCGGCCTGCCTACCACCTTCCCGCCCTCGATGACAGAGCCTTGGAATTTTTTTTTTTTTAACATTTTTCCAAAATTGTTGTCGCGCGCCAATCCCCCGGCGTTGAGCACGGGCGACCGAAAACCCTGGGCCCACCGCGCTGTCTGTGGAAGAGCCCCAGCTGCTGCCGAGCGATGCCGGGGCGCTGTCGTCGTCCCGTCTGCCCGGCCCGGTGATGTCACCTCCCTCTCCCACTGACCCCATTACATCACCGTCTCTTACATCACCGCGGGGCCCCATCTGGCGCGCTATTTGTTTCATTGATTATCTTCTCATACAGCGAGGGGCCACCCCCCCCCCACCCATCCCCAGCGATCTCCACTCCCACAGGGAGCGGCTGTGCTCGACGGGGTGGGGGGTGGCGAGGGGGGGGGGGGGCGTCGTTCCACTGCGCGACATCTACAACGGCAGCGGCGGCTTCGGGGGCGCGCTGGCGACCGTCCCGTTTAAAGTTACTTAAATTTGTCAAATAGCGGGAGAGAGACGGCAGGAGCCGCTGTCATGGCGATCGCGAGATCATGTTCATAGTGTGTTTGCGAATAAAGTAAAGCATTTTATACAAATTCAAGTGAAACATTTCTGAACGTTTTAGAAACTTTCATCTACGCGGGCGTCGTGATCCAACACTGGCTGCCTGCACCATCGCGGTCCCACGCCTCTTCCCCCCCACTCCCACTCACCCCCCTCACCCTCCTCACCCCCACCACTACTGCCACCACTACCAGCCCGTGGGGTAGAACTGGAAGAGGGCTGAAGGGCCTTCTGTTCCAAGGGGAAGATGAGCAAGTGGTTCGGGGGTCAGCGTCCGGTTTTGCTGAACACCAGCAGTTGAGTCCCCGTCTTAATTCAATGGGCATGGCGCTGTGGTGTAACGGTTATCGCGCTGCAATTGCAATGCAGAGGTCAACAGTTCGATTCGACCTTCCGGCTCCGGCAGTTGAAACGGTGACGCGAGTTTATTAAAATCCCTTTGCCGCAGTTAAGTCAAGTCGGCAAGATCTCTTGTGGTGGGGCAAAGTGTGGGGCAGTCCCTCTTTCACGGCGTCTTGGCTAAATAACCTGTTGGGAGGCGGGGCGTGAGCGAGCAGTGACAGGGCTGGACCATTTCACTCAAGCTTGGGGGGTATCTTGACTCGAGGTGGTTTATGCACCTGGCCACACACGTGGCCATATGCCTGGCTCTGTACTTGTTTCATAACGCCGAAGTGGAATGTTCCACTTGTGCTGCAATTACGCCGATGAAGAAGTAACCCTGAACACCCATAATCGTCAGATTCCGCAAGCTAAGCAGGCGTGTTGATCCTGGACACCGCTATTGGTAAACGGGTTGCGATCGGGCTGCAAGGCTCTGCAGAGGATAGTGGAGCAGACATTGCACGTTTGCGTGTCCCACCTCCACGAGCCTGCATTGACCCAGCGCGGTGAAGTATGGTCACATGACCCGGACGGCCCATGCACGGCATGGGGAAGCCCTCGTCCAGCAGTGGATTGACAAAAGGGGCTGTCCCCGTTTATAGAAATGCCAGGTAACGGGGAGAAAATCACGTGGGCCTCCAACTCTTTGACGACTCGGTTCATCCTCTCGTGTGAACGATAGCAAGTCATCTCGGTTATAGAGCGAGCTTGACATGTCTCTGTGAACTACAGTGAGGGAAAAAAAGTATTTGATCCCCTGCTGATTTTGTACGTTTGCCCACTGACAAATGATCAGTCTATAATTTTAATGGTAGGTTTATTTGAGCAGTAAGAGAATAACAAAAAACTCCAGAAAAACGCATGTCAAAATTGTTATAAATTGATTTGCATTTTAATGAGTTAAATAAGTATTTGACCCCTCTACAAAACATGACTTAGTACTTGGTGGCAAAACCTTTGTTGGCAATCACAGAGGTCAGACGTTTCTTGTAGTTGGCCACCAGGTTTGCACACATCTCAGGAGGGATTTTGTCCAACTCCTCTTTGCAGATCTTCTCCAAGTCATTAAGGTTTCGAGGCTGACGTTTGGCAACTCGAACCTTCAGCTCCCTCCACAGATTTGCTATGGGATTAAGGTCTGAAGACTGGCTAGGCCACTCCAGGGCCTTAATGTGCTTCTTCTTTAGCCACTCCTTTGTTGCCTTGGCCGTGTGTTTTGGGTCATTGTCATGCTGGAATACCCATCCACGACCCATTTTCAATGCCCTGGCTGAGGGAAGGAGGTTCTCACCCAAGATTTGACGGTACATGGCCCCGTCCATCGTCCTTTTGATGCGGTGAAGTTGTCCTGTCCCCTTAGCAGAAAAACACCCCCAAAGCATAATGTTTCCACCTCCATGTTTGACGGTGGGGATGGTGTTCTTGGGGTCATAGGCAGCATTCCTCCTCCTCCAAACACGGCGAGTTGAGTTGATGCCAAGAGCTCCATTTTGGTCTCATCTGACCACAACACTTTCACCCAGTTGTCCTGAATCATTCAGATGTTCATTGGCAAACTTCAGACGGGCATGTATATGTGCTTTCGCAGGGGGACCTTGCGGGCGCTGCAGAATTTCAGTCATTCACGGCGTAGTGTGTTACCAATTGTTTTCTTGGTGACTATGGTCCCAGCTGCCTTGAGATCATTGACAAGATCCTCCCGTGTAGTTCTCGGCTGATTCTTCACCGTTCTCATGATTATTACAACTCCACGAGGTGAGATGTTGCATGAAGCCCCAGGCCGAGGGAGATTGACAGTTCTTTTGTGTTTCTTCCATTTGCGAATAATCGCACCAACTGTTGTCACCTTCTCACCAAGCTGCTTGGCAATGGTCTTGTAGCCCATTCCAGCCTTGTGTAGGTCTACAATCTTGTCCCTGACATCCTTGGAGAGCTCTTTGGTCTTGGCCATGGTGGAGAGTTTGGAATCTGATTGATTGCTTCTGTGGACAGGTGTCTTTTATACAGGTAACAAGCTGAGATTAGGAGCACTCCCTTTAAGAGTGTGCTCCTAATCTTAGCTCCTTACCTGTATAAAAGACACCTGGGAGCCAGAAATCTTTCTGATTGAGAGGGTTCAAATACTTATTTCCCTCATTAAAATGCAAATCAATTTATAATATTTTTGACATGAGTTTTTCTGGATTTTGTTGTTATTCTGTCTCTCACTGTTCAAATAAACCTACCATTAAAATTATAGACTGATCATGTCTTTGTCAGTGGGCAAACGTACAAAATCAGCAGGGGATCAAATACTTTTTTCCCTCACTGTAGATGAGTTTAACCTGGCAGGCTCTCACTTGCTCTAAAATAAAGTATTTGTGTCTGAACAGGAGGTTGGTGGTGGTCTGGTTACGTTGTGTGCATGGGATCCGGGATATATGGGACTTAGGAGTGGAAACGGGAGTTGGGAGACCTGGGACGGGAGCGGAGATGGGAGAAACGAGCAGATGGGGAAAGAGTTTCGCAGAAATGAGCCATAGGAGAAGGCGGGAGATGGAAGGCAAGAGAGATGAGAAGCCGTTCGGCAGGAGATGGGATATGAGAGTAAACCCCTTGGTATGGGAGACCAGAGATGAAAGAGGACAATAGGTGGTCGAAAGGAGATGGGAGGCAGGAGAAGGCAAACGGGAGACGAGAGGCAGGAAATGGGATAGGAAGGAGGGGAGACAGGGGTTGGAGAGACAGGGGAGAAGAGAGGAGAGAGGCAGGGGACAGGTGGAAGACAACAGACGGGAGCTGGAGCGAAGAGAGAGGGGGGTGGGGGAGGATCAGAGGTGGCCGATGAGACACGGAGGCAAAATGCACAGTTCGCCGTGAGCAGTAGTGCGGCTCTCGCGTTGTTCCCTCGCGCCTCTGCGTGCCGCGTTCGGGGCGCCGTGTAGCCTGGCGACACTGGATACGAGCCATGTGAATAGGGGGCAGATTAGGCTTAAGGTGATTACTGGTGCTGCGAATAGGAGCAGGTTTAGTGCTTGGTTTCAGACTCTTAATAGGGTTAGCTCTCGGAGCTAAGGTTGGAGTGATGGCCACAGATTAAACCCATTGACCCCCATAACCTCTCGATCACGAACAGCGCCCATATAAACCCTGAACCATCAACCCTAATCCCACCATTAGCGGAACATCCCGTTCTGCCGGGCATTGCGTTTTAGGCGAGACGACGTCGATTGTAATGTTTCGCTCGCGTCTCTCGGCTTCGGCGCAATGAGGTCACCTCGTTGTGCCCTGGCGTCGCGTGGCTTGCAAGGGATGGCCACGGCGTGTGGGAGGCCTTCATTCAGCAGTGGATAGGCAATGGCCGATGGTGACATGTAGAGGGGAACGGGCCCTGCAATTGCATTGCTCACGTCACTGCCGATGGAAGTGACCTGCGCTCGAGGGAGCTGTGGAGAGCCCCTTTAGAGCACCCACACTTTACCCTACCACAACGCAAGCTGCCGATCCACTCTGGTGTACTCATGTATACGAACTAACCTTTTGAAATGTCATCAGGTAAAAGGCCCACTGATCTATGTAGCTCTTTTTACACGCTTTTATTTAACTCACTGTCTGTTGTTGTATCCTTGAATCTTGTAATTCAATTTTAACCCACTTCCCAATGTGGTATCGACTGCAAACTTGGGATACTTATGTCATCCTGATGACAATACTATATTCTGTCATAAAAATAAAATATTTTTAAACAATCTTTTTTACATGTTATGTTTCGACATTGGGTCTAATTGTCCACGCTCAGCTGACGGCTGTAATTGACCACGGGCCCCTTATGTTATGGCAAGCTTCGGGGCCACTTCCTGGAGTCGTGGAGTTCTTTCATTACTAGTAGGGTACATTTAATTAAAGCGTGTTTTTAAAAGTTGTTTTTTTATATTACTTATTTAGAAGCAACCTGGCTATCACAAATGACGGCTCAACAAATGACGCGTGTATTTTTCTCCGGGGCCAGAGGGGGCCAGAGGCCCCGGAGAAAAATACACGCGACCACGTGGAGAGAGAGACACGCAAACTCCAAATATACAGCAGCAGCAGGCGTCAGGGTCGGGATCGAACCCACGACCTCCTGCATACCAGGCGAGATAGTTAACATCTAGCCACCGTGGTGATGATGAGAGACACGCAAACTCCAAATATACAGCAGCAGCAGGCGTCAGGGTCGGGATCGAACCCACGACCTCCTGCATACCAGGCGAGGTAGTTAACATCTCCTAGCCACCGTGGTGATGATGAGAAACACGCAAACTCCAAATAGACAGCAGCAGCAGGCGTCAGGGTCGGGATGTAACCCACGACCTGGGTGGACACAGGTGAGCTGCGGGGGAGGGGAAGTGAATTTCAGTAAATATTGCTCCTTCCTTGCAACAGCCGCGCGCGGAGATCGAACCGACAAGCCTCTACCGTTGCTATCCGCGACTGACTTGGCAGGTAGCAAACGCTGACGACGACGACGATTCAAATCGCGCTGTCGCCTCTGCCGACGCCACACTGCTGCCGGAGGCTCCATCCAGCAGTTGATAGATAATGGATGGCGACGATCAGGCCCCTTCGGGCTCTCGGCCGCGACCCCGCTCGGCTGCCCGCAAGACGTTTGGAAATCTTAATTGGCTGCAGCAGGAAGCGCTGCTAGGAAAGGACCATTAGTGCCGTTTAGTGTTTTACTTGTAAAGCAACCAGAGGGTTAAGGTGGCGGGTGCGGTGGGGGTGGGTGATGGGGGGAGGGAGGCTTAAGGTAACTTTCCCGTGTGCGCTCGTCTGGTTTAGAAGGGGGTCGAACGACGGGATTTCTGAATTCTGTCCGCGCGACGACTGCAGTTGTGACCGTGACACCGGTGACTGCCCGAAAATACGCAACAGGCGTCTCGCCCGGTGCAACAGGCTGGACTGTTCCCCAGCTCGGCTATTGCCACCGGATGTCGTGCGATTTGCGCGTAGCCTCTTTGGGGTTTTATTTTCGCCCAAACGCCGCGCGAAAGAAGAATGAGAAGACGGACGGGAATGCAATAAACCAAACTATTTTAAAATATATATTTTACCAGGTAGGGCCCACTGAGATGTATAGCTTTTATTTTAGGAGCGACCTGGCCACAAATGATAGCTCATCTATGTGCAGCCAAATGCTTTAAAAGCATGTTTTCTAAATGTGGAGGGAAAAACCGGAGCACCCCACGCGACCACGGACGGAGAGACACGCAAACTCCACATATACAAGAGGCGTCGAGGTCGAACCCACGACCTCCTGCATACCAGGCGATGTAGTTAACATCTCCGCCACCGCGGCATAATGCCCTTTAACCCAGGACAACCTCACCGGGTCTCAAGACTCTTTTCAAGAGGGCCCTGCTGCATTGAGAC